CTCACTGAAGACAAATGTGGATGTTTGGAGATGGATTGTTATGACTAGGGAATCGTGGTCTGCACGACACGATATAAAAATTCCGGCAGAATTCAGTCATGAGAATACCTAGCAAGAGCTATTTTGTTCATCTCATTCTTCAACATTGCTGCTTCTACATTGCTGAAAAAAAATTCCCTCGTGAAACTAAAATATTTTTAATGTGACTGAAGTAATGTACAGTGTGGTAAAACTACTACCAACCACTGCATATGTTGAAATCAGAGCTTTAATTCAGATAGCGGGAAAACTTGCACCGATTGACAAAAGATAAACTCAGGGCTGTCTTACCCCAAGAAAACAATGGACACAGCGATCATAATCTGTCACTCGGGTGTGATAAAATCATTCTTCTGAAGGCATTACCTTTCATCTTTTTGACGCCCCGAATATAGGAACCCGCCGTTGCTAGATGAAATATTATTGGTTTATTGAAGTTGCGTCTTCTTCAACGACTTCGCAACAAAGTCTTTCCACGTGCTGTGCATGCCTTATTGTTTAACGCACGGTGCATGCCAATCACTCCACCTTTTCCTTTAATATATGACAGAGCAGGTTGTTATTCCCGTACAAAAATTATTTTGTCTCATTTAACTAAATTCGATGATAAAAATGCTTTGAACGGACTCATTTGATAATAATCCGCTCTTACAGTGTATTAGATATTGGGCTTTCAAAAAGGAGAAAGTAATTGCTATCATACTGCGTGTATTAAAATGTATCATAACATAGCGGTATTAATGCTTTTCTCATTATGTAGTGGCCCTAAAAAGGGCCGTTAGGAGACAGTTTAGAAGCACTGTCTGGCTTTGTGTCGATCATGCTACCAACAACCAGTAACAGAAGTCAGGAGATCCTTCATCCTCTCCAGAAGATTCGGGTTCTTGATCGAGAAGATCAGGACACATGGAACTTCCCGGCCACCCTGCCTCAACGAAGACTTCTTAGGCCTGCCGGTCACCTCCACCCTGATGTCGCCACCATGCAAAAGAAAGTGGAAACATTCTCTCGAAATTTCTTTCGGCAAGTGCCCCACAGTTATGTTTCCACGTTTGACGCGGATACAGTATCGGTCTTTGCGCCGGCCAACTGAAATGTAATGTAGTCCATTCAATATAAATCATACTGCTAACAAAGAACCAAAACACATTTATAGGTGAAAAAAAAAAACATTTAAAGATAATAATTTGCACTCATAACAATAATGCCAAGTATCTGTACCCGAAGTCTGCCCCACGGAACATATGTGCAATTCTGTTCAAATAATATGGTATTTTAAAGTTCTTGATTTTAATGTGAAACACGTGACTCATACAAAGTAGCTGTTACATACCAGGATCATCCACATCTACCAGAAGAGATTCACCAACAAACGGTTTCCAGTATACTCTGTAGACGTGGTATCCACGAACAACTGCTGCGTAGGAAAACTCCATGGCTTGTGCTCATCTTTAGGAATGCACCGATTTTATACCTTTTTTTATAATGGCCATGAAAATATGATCAAAGTCACAGAACATATCTGGATTCCAACAGTTACAACAGATAGTATCAATCTAAGGGCAGCTACTCTGATCAAAGACAGTTACCTGGCTTTTGATCAAGGAGCCACTATGCGGCACCTCTTATTTTGACTTACTATTCAGTGATTTTATCTATAGGCACAAGTCAATCTACATTTGAACGTAGACTTATCGTTAACTCTATCTGTCGATCACTGTTTTTCATGCAACTGTGCTCAAATCCCAATAATTCGCAAAAACACTAGCAGTATGCTTGATAATCACATGTGTGTGCGTGTGTGCTGGTAACTTATTTGTGTAACGATCTATTAAAATTTTTATGGACGTAACCAGGCATACGCACGGATGCACTGTGCGTACAATTTGTGGGCCAACCATGATATTATCCTCTATAAATTGAGTGTATTTTTTCAAGGTACTAGTATATAGTCGGAAATCCCCTTCGGTTGTAAGTTAATGTCACTTGAATGTACAAATCCTCTGTATAATTCATATATGCGCCATTGTTCTTTCACCGCTTCTCATTTGCTTTCACAGAACTGAGGTAAACAATACTAGCTACCGCCAGAAGTCCTATCTTAATCGTCCATCTAGCTGGAACTTCCTTTACCTCTTAATTAGAGGGTTAAATGCCCTTCGGCTGCCAGGTAGCCTGACTTGAGCGTATCAAACGCACTCTCGCTATCTCAGGTAAAAATCTACCCGTGTGTTATTTTCAAAAAGCAGCTCCAGCAGACCTGGGGGCACTAGATAAAATCTGAACATCGAGCTTTACAAGGAGCCAGAGAAACAAAGGAAGATTGATTTTTCCTGCAAAGCTTCAAAGACACGGACTTGATCCACCTTAAATCTCTTAAGTAATTTGATGTAACCAACTTTATGATGCGTCACAGTTGAATGGCACTACTTTGTAGTGAACACTGTTATTCAGTCACGGCGACAATACTTCCTAAAGCTTACGAAACACAATAAAATGTTTCCACTAACTGTAAAAAAATGTTCCACGCAGTATGCAGCAGTGACAAGAGTGACTTTCATGCACTCTCAAACCCATGTAGACCCTAAACAAACTCTTAGCAAACTAGCCGCTAAATTATGAATGGGGACACTTTCCAGATCTTCATACGTACGGCACCTGACAAAAGCCGACAGACAAAAAGGCAATTTTCAAATTTTCAGCGAGAGGTCGTTCGCAATCCGAGAGAGACGAAGAGGCAATTTCCACATCTGTTAAATATACTTCGTTAGCCAAAGAGCGAGACGAGAACGCGATTTTCGGACCGTCAGCGGGAGATTGTTCGCAATCCGAGAGAAACGAGAAAGCAATTTTCATATTCGTTCATTAGCTTTCGTTTGCGGAAGATCGTCAGCCGGAGATCGTTCTCGATCTAAGCAAGGCGAGAAGGCAATATTCATTCATGGGAATTCCTTCGCGAAAGAGCGTCAGGGAAAGATCGTTATCGATTGATTTTAACCCTCCCTCCCCATTGAAATTTATTATTCTTAAAAATATTTTTCATTTCAATCCCCCCCTCCCCCATTTTGGACAGCCTGTATCCCAATCCTGGAAAAGCTTTGATTCTGGGTGAAGTAATGTAATGGAGCTTAATTAAATCGCCGGAATGTATTTAACTTTAACTGATGATTTTATTACAGGTGAAAACTGAGCTATGATTCGGCAAATTTAATTTATTCTGCCCTTTATCTGTTTGCGTAAGTCTACATTTAGCGCACCCGGGAATATTGAAAATATGTGCGCACAATTTTAAAAGGCCTGGTGACGCCTCTGAATTAATGTATCCATCCATAGACGTAAAGGTGTGAATCACTGAAGAAATCTTACGTCTATAATGTATACGGCTATGTTAATAAAATTAATTAAATATATAGATGTGACGGCTTTCATTCCAAAATTCCCACATCAATTATTTGACGCTTAAACATCGGTTTTATCATCAATGTACATGTGACCAAAACAAACAACAATAAACACCACCATGTTGAAGGTGATCTAGCTCTTCATACGTATTACGCACACCGCGTCTTGCTGAACTACAGATATGCAATTTTAATTGTACAAAGGGCTTGGATAGAAGCGACAGGTACTTTTTCCCACAAGAGAGCATCTTGATTTCTTAATTGTGTCTTCCACATTTAGGTAGCCATCGGTACCACTGAAAGAGTCGCGGCATGCGACTTCTGTTCACTTATTTACAAACGCACCCTGCGTAAATCGCGTGTTTTAAGAGCTTGGTAATAGAAATGCACATGCAGATAAGTGACAGGTACGTTTCCCTTTGAGATAATATCTTGATTTTTAATTGTTGCTACCTCATTTCAGGCCACAAAAATGAGGAAGCTTTTAAAGTGACACACAAAAGCGGCATGTGACTTCTAATCACCAACTTGAAAACGCACCTTGCGCAAATCGCGTGTTTATGAGCTAGGTAATGCAACAAACGTTATGAAATGACAGGTACCTTTAGTAACAGCTTGATGTACTTGACAAATTGCCATCAATGCTGTTTAAAGTGTAACAACTGACAAAGAGCTACGGTATGCACTTCCATTCACCGACTTGAAAACGCACCAGTCTTGCCGACGATGTGGTCGAATAATCGGAACACAAAAAAATTACCGTTGCATGAATTTGACGTTTGGTCGAAATGTTTGAGCCAAGAAAAATTAATTTCAGAAAATAATTTTTTTCGTCGGATTGATCGGGCCGGTCGAATTGCTTGGCACATTACCGNCATTGAAAACCTTGGCAAAGTGATGACATGACATGAAGAATGCATAAAATGGGATTTGCACTCCACAATGGCCACAAATATCTTCAAATACATGACCAATTTCATTCTTTTCAAAATAGAATACAAAAGCTTGTGGGGCATGCGCATTGTACACTTGTATTTATGGTTTCAATTACACATTTCCATAGAAATTGTGATATCCACATGACTGACCTTTCAGAAGCACAGCAGATACATATATGATATACACTGGCACTGAGTTCACATTTTAACAAGTTTTATCACTTAACCTGGATTAACTCTTGGCCCAAGTAAACAATATACTGTTTTGGTTAACTCTTCAGAGGTAGAGGGTAGACAAATATACTCAAAGAAAATTCTAAGATCTTTACACATGAGATTTTGTGGTAGATATTTTAGTGCGTGACTGAATGATAATATAACAAATTATAGAAATTACAGCAAACAATGTTGACAAAGCAAACTGAATACAAGAACAACTCATTTCATGTATAAGCATGAACTTATATGTCCCTCTGACAGGCATAGGGGTTTAAAATAAGGGGCTGCAAGGCTAAAGACATTTTAGCTTATTTCATCCTGTATAAAAATCAAATGATTGTAATGGAATCATGGGGGTGAGGGAGGAAGACTCCAGCCCTTATTAACCCCCAATTATACTCACCCCCAAGAGGCACAGCACTCCGTATACCACTGGGGGGTGGAACCAAAGTCCCATTATCTAGCTGCTGGTAGCGATAATTAAATGCATCCCAGAGGTCCCAGCCCATAGCCGAGTCACTGATGTGGGTGACATTCTCCTGCTCCAGGTACACGCAGCCTTGCCTCTTCCACACGTAACGATCCGAACTCTTGATAATGCCTTCATTTTTAAACTGGATTTTCAACAACAGATCTGAGATACTGTCACCTCTGCTCTTCCCGATAAGTAAAAACGCACCAAGAATAAGGGCTAATGTGGGGGCACTTGCTGTCATGGTCGTAGTCTACTGTGGTAATCCCAAGCTCAGTGCCTCATCTCAATCTGCAGTGACAACCTACACATTTATTAAACAATATATATACACGTTGGTCGTAGAACCGTATAAATGTACGTACAGATGTAAAACGGTTACTTGTGCATACAGATAATTTTTTATATAAAACTTGTCCAGTGTGAGTCTGTCAAATGTGGTCCACTCTCTTTATCAATATCGTACGTGTTGTGCTATGTTGCACATTATGACATGCTCTCGACGACAATGACTCCAGTATTCACCGGCGTTTATTTTTATACCTGCACTGTACATTCCTAGGTAAATTAACGTAAAGACAGCAGTTGTATAATACAATTGCAATGATAGTAAGAAAATGTGTATAATTCTGATTAAAACTAAGACTTTAGAACAACTTAAAATGACTTACACGACGGTGCCCTGGCAGATTCAATTATACAAACCTCCGAGTCTTGTGACTGGTCATGTGACCGCGGGTATTGTTGTTTAGACATGGCGGTGGCAGGTGCGCTGAGAAGTCAATAGGTTAGCACTTAGAGAGTAAAATCAGCGCTTCCCAGAGGAAATTTATATCATTGAGAGTACCGTAACATAGGTAATAACACTGAAATTAATCCGTTCGTTTACAAAAGATAGATATAGCACGGTATGCATTTGAACCTTCTTTATATCGGTTATTTACCTTAGCAACACCAATACTTCATGTTTGGCTGTACAGCATTGAAGAGAGATTCTGTCATAATTTTAAATACTTAACTCTCAGTTTTGATAAAACATTTGCTAAAACTTAATGCCGTCAAGATGGACAGTGCTTATGTCAAATATTCCTCGTTTTAGTGTGACATTGAATGGGGTCTTTTTACAGCAAGTACAGGCACATGAAATTTTATAAGTTATATGTTACTATATTGAATTACTTTTCTTTCAGACATAATAACACTGAAGATGTCAATTGATACTATTGTAATTGAAAACCACATTAAACTATTTGTTCAAACAAAAATTGATGAAGACGTGTATTTGGACTTGAAGAGACAATGCATTTCTATTGTTCCCTTATCTAAAAAGGGATCTACGACTTTGGCAACATTTTGGGCCAAAGTTCTGCAGAATAAGAATGTATTCCCTGCAACGAAATACTTGTACCACAAAGACTTTGACAGGAAAACTGAACAGTCAATTCTATTTGTAAAAGCAGCTGGTGTCACCTTTACAATTTTTATGAAAACTGGCACTCTGACTATAGAAGGAGAATATGTCTACGACTGGTTTAAGAACAGGATACGAGATGTCCTGACAGCATATGATGAGAGTGTGGGGTTTCCAGTTGAGGGGTATGGACAGGTTGTCCAAGCTGATGAAGATGAAGCCATTCCAGGTATGTACCTAATTTTTTTTTTCTCTACTTTTATAATTATTTACGTTGATGACTTTGCATGATTAATCATTTACTATGTAAGATGCATGAAGAAATTTAGGTTTCATGTTAGTTTGTGATATTTTATTCAAATTGTTATATTTTCAGTTGATGAGCCTAGGCTGGTTTTAAAGGAGAAATCTGCTGTGGTCAATTCCACCATTACTGCCCCTGTAGACATGGCAGAAAGTATGGACCAGCTGGAGAGTGTCCTTGGAAGGATCCATCTTGATTTGGTATGCAGTACTAAAAAATAATATGTTGTCCTCTTTTAATAGTTCATATAAAATTAATCAAAGCTAGGTCCGCAAAAATTGTAAATCTGAAAGAGATAGATTTGTCTTCAGAAAGGTAATTTTATATCAGGAATAATAAGCATTTTTATTTTCTTGACACTTGGGAAGACTAGTCCAAAAGAAGCAGATTCAAGTTGGTTGTATATTTTGCAAAGTTAATCCAGTTTTAGATCACGTGTATTAATAAGTACCCACTATCAAGTGTTTATAAATAATTACGAATTTCTGTTTCTCCCGTTTTCCAGCTCAGCACAGAATCCCTGCAAATGCGTTTGAAGGACCTACCCACAGGGTGTATCAGGGAGGGACACACTTACGTCTATGAGCTTTGGAAATCTCTTCTACACAAATGGTTCAGTGAGGGCTTTAAAGTGTACATTGCTACTCCAGTCATTGACACTCAGCGGGTGCTTGACATTGTGGACTTCATGTTCCAAAACAAAGAAACTGCAGACCTTGAGGGACTCTTTGTGCAATATCAGTGTGGAGAAAATAAAAGAATATCAGATGTCAAAAGAGAAGTGCTGGAGCTTCCACTATTTTCTCCTCCACAGAGGCTTCACATTGAATATAAACTTTTCAACAAATTGAACTATCCAGCAAAGACATTTAACTGTAAATTCATAGCTGGAGTGAAGGGAGATGCAGCTCAAGTTATGGTCACTAGTGCAGGATTCAACAGGAATCACTTTGAAGAAGAGAGTTATGAATTTGTGATGTTTCATCAGACCAAAAAAGACAATTTTATCAGGGAGTATATGGAGCCTCTGACCACCAGCATTGGTCTAGAATAAAAAACAATAGTCATTATCCAAAAACTGCAAGATGAACAAAGTCTAAACTTGACTAGTGAATTAACAGGAATTTTGATTTATCTAAAAAATTGGTCAAAATGATTAAATTGAAACATGCAATCAATAATTTCTTTTATGCATGGTTGTAATCCCCACAAAAATTATTAACATTGTTCTATATAGATTGTCTTAATTATTATTTTTATTATAATATTATTATTATTATTATTATTGCATCATTTTAGTTTTACTCTATTTTTGTCAAAAAAAAAAAAAAAAAAACTGTGAAAGGAATGTTGCTGTTTTGGGTTTCAAGTTAGAACAGTTATTTCAGTGCCAATGTAACATTTTCAAACAAAAGAAAGCCATGTATGGGCTTTTTAAAAAATATTCAATTGTAATGAATTTAGTAAAAGTGTCTGTAGAGAAAACATTTGCTGGATTGTGCAGTGGCATGTCTTTTTTTACCATAATCTGAAGGATTTTTAAAAGAAATATTTTTGTATTAAATTTTATTCAAATAAGTGGCTTGTGCCTTTATCTTATAACACTTGCAGTTAAAATATCAATTTGTACATTATGATTGAATTAGACTTTTGTAAAATAATTCAAAAATGCACATTTTTATGTTGTTTTTCTAATTTAATAACAGTTAGAAAATCAGAACAGAAAAAGGAGTAAAATATCCCTTTTAAACAACAGAACATCATAACCTTATATATCTAAAACTACATAATTTAACTTGCCATACAAAGTTGAACAACTTTCTTGTGCGTGCTAGGTGCAATTTTATAAATAAATGAATAAATGAACAACTGAGAGTAACCCATCTGGGTCATTTACCAAAAAAAAAAAAAAAAAAAAAGTAGGCAAATGTTATAAACCACTTTATCCAAATTCCTCACATAAAGCAAATATTGCTTTGTTTGTCCATATAAATTATGAAAAAAAGACACTTGTGTCATATACATATGTCATATCTTTATATTAAAACTTTCCATTTTATTATGCATTTTAATATGTAATTACCAATTATGATCTACATGTAAAAGATTGTTTACTGCACATAAAACCAATTACCTTGTGCTAAATTATCTTCAGGTGCTTATGTTCACACCCATGCAAAGTCAGTATGTTGTTTTCCACACAGACTTAAAAAACATTAAATTACATAAAATTACTATTTTTATTGCTTATCTATCTATTTTGTAATGCTGTACTTACAAGTAATTTCACGTGTTGCTATGACCTGATTACACTTACACTTACCTTTACAATTAGTACTAAAATACCCTCTGACACCTGTTTATTCTTAACTAAAACCTTAATGTCATGAACATAGGATATAGTTAAAAGCACTACAACTTGTAATCAATTTCCAGAACAACAAGTTAACTAATTAAAACTTTCTTTAAAACATGTGATCAATTTTCAGCACCATAAGTTGACTAATCTAAACTTAATTCACAACATCTACCTGTAAAAATCACCCTTTACTCTTTCCCTACATTGCAAGTACCTTTGAGCAAATACTGGTATGAAATTGAAAGTCTTCCTTCTGAAATCAAAACTAGACTACGTAATGGTTGTGAAGTGGCTTTCACATGTGCTTCTTTAACAGTTCTAGGACATACTCATTGACCAGCAACATAATAGCTCCACCTGGAAAAAAAAGCAATGAAGCTTAATTCATTGAAGGTTAAATCAAAACTATAGGTTCTGATGGACACACCTGCCTCCACCCACCTGGACAGCATATATTATGTATTTCAATGAGACATAACAGTTTTGAAACATCAACAACCTTAAAACCACCTTCCATAGATTCTGGACAATTAATCTTAGTGAAGTTTCAAGGACAGTAAAAATAAAGACTTTCTAATAAAAATTGCATAAATCTATAGAAAAACAAAAACAAAAAATACTGCCAGGTACACAAGTTTAAGTGAAAGTATAAGTGAAACTGTTTGACCAGCAGTCCCATAGGCAGGGAGAGGGAGGGGGGAAGTTTAGCAAGACCTGCCCTTTAGGCTAAAAAAGGTTCCATGCCTAATCAAAATTTGATTTAGGACCTAAGCCGGTTCTGAAATTGGATCAATTTCAGGTAAAGGGGGTAAGGGGCAGAAANAGAGAAAATCCTGACAGAGATCACTGGAGTTTGTGCTAACTTTTAGATAGCTATTTCAATCGTATTAATAGGGCTTTTTGTTTAAGAGAAATTCTTGATTAAAAAAAAGACAATTTTAGCCTCAAAACGCTGATATTACGTCACTCGTGTTACACTGTGACTACAAACTTTGAAAAATTGTTTGGCTTGCTAGACCTTATCTTTAAGTTAATAGGAAATTTCATTAGCTGCATTAGTTTTGGAGTTTTTCGTTAATATCCAAGATCCCTTAAGGGACTCAGGACCTTACAGTACAATGTCCAAGTAAGACATGTATTTTGGTTCAGGCAGACCACTGCCAGTTTAAAAAAAATAATAAGCTACATGATTTTCAGTGATGGCAGTAATGACCACAGTCATAGATGATGTACAGGGAAAATGTGTCTGTAGATGACAAAACACTTACCTGGTCCTAATCTCAGTACTTTGGGCAACAGTCCTTTGTACAATGCAAGGAAACTATAAAGTAAAAGAACATATTAAATGTAAAAAAATGCAATTAAAATCATTGTCAATAGATTCAAATTTGCAATAAATTATATTAAAATATGGTATTCATTTTCCTCAAAAAATATCAATTAATAATCAGCTTGATGTTAGGAATATGGAAATGCATTCATGCTACAACACTGTAACTAACACATATTACAAAATCAACAAAACAGTCAAAGTGACTGAAACATACCCTTCTTCTATATAAACCGTTCTCATAGTAGCAAAACATGTTCTATATTTGATCTGCCCTGGTACTGGCTGTGGGCCTTGGATTCTACTCTTGGCCACATCAAACGGAATATTTATACATGAGGCAAGTGAGCCAGCTATCAAACCTATTAGGAACTTTCTTCCGAACTCCAAGAAGGGACCCTAAAATATAAAATAATTCACATTATAATGCAGAGCATTTGAAATCTGTTACAGATTAGTCCTTTATAAACCGAACTAATCACCTATAAACCAAGCAAATATCTGCCCAAAAGAGTTATATTATCTGTTCAAAAATACTGAAGACTAGACTTTTTTTAATTTATTTTTTTACTTGTATTGTATATACATTCATATATCTATCTTCCTGTATGTGTTTATTTATTCCTTTATACTTTCTACTTGTACAGTATATATAACAGAGAGAAATATGCCCTTACTTCACATGATGGGACAATTTCTTTGACATTGTGATAAAACCCAAAATACACCATGTTAAAGACCCCATGCCTTCCAAGAGTTGCAGTCAACCCTTTCCATATTCCTGATCTGCTCATATAGCCATGCTCTGCTGTGATATCTCTGAATGTGTGCCAGGCTGATTTTTGCTGAAATAATTTTCACTGGTCAGCAGTAATACTAGTATTACCTGTAACTGTACATGCCTCTGACAGGTCAGTGTAAACTGGTGAATTCAAGTTTTCATACATGTGCATATTCTAACCAGGGAATTATATCGTACACGATATAATTCCTAACAAAGGATATTTTAATAATGGTTCTTGGATTAAAAAAAGGGGAAACAATTCTACTAACTAAACATATACCATTGAACTGGCAACACATCTAAGTTTAATCAAAATACATTTTTTTAATACAAGGTTTATGCAGAATGTCAATATATGTTGCAATAATAATTAAACCATGAATGTTTATACAAACTTGGGCAAATTGGTTTCTTTCTGCTTGTAATTTGACTTTCACAACTTCAAATGGATTTATGAAAACTGCCTCAGTAAGACCTGTGGATAAACCAGACAGCCACAAAACCTGAAAAAATAAATAAAAAACATTTGATTACCAAAAGGTAGAAAATTGCCTAGGTTCATGCTAACACACACAGTTTATGCTGGTAACAAAAAAAAATGTGCTGTACGAAACTAAAATATATTCGTAACAAAACTGAGAAATTATATGACTAAAACCTACAAGTTACATCACTAAATACTTCATATGTAAACCGGACATGTGTTGATGTTTAGGAATATCCATGCCACATTTCACTTTAAGATCAGTACATAGAATTTTTTGAAAATTTAACCTCAATTTTGTCTTACACCCCAATTCGGTATACTATCGCCAGCTAATCCATAAAGCCTCTTAAATCTTTCATACATGAAAAACTTTATGGCTCTCTTAGGGAACTCTGCACACATGGGTGGAAGAATACCCTTGTAGAAAGAAAGAAATCTGAAAAAGTATTCAACATATCATATTAAACATCTGATACAAACTGTTAAGGCAACTTTCTACTTACTATATGCATTACGTTTTCACATTTTTTAGATTATTCCCGTTTTGATATTTCATAAGGGCAATGAACACTGGTACTGAATTCTTGATTTCATTAAATGTGAAACCTGTTATGTCACCAAATGTGTAAGACCCCATATGCTCATAGACACTATCATTCAGCATAGATCAATCCAACTTGGTGGTCACTCTCGCGGAGTGCAATCAGCTTAACTGAATGACATGCCTTCTCTTGTTTCCAGCATACTCGTATACTCACCAACTATTTTGTATTCTACTCAACAACAGTTCAGGAGGAGGCATGTCATTCAGTTAAGCTGATTGCAACCAGCATGAGTCCCCACAAACTTGTATCAATGGTGTCTATGGGAATAGGGCCTAAGTGTCAATGAATTGATGCAGATAACAATCACTGCTGCAAACATTCAAATTTTCATTTTCATTAAAAAAAGTCCATCTGGGTCAAAAAAAAAAAAAAAAAAAAAAAAACATCTTTTTCACAGAAATTGAATGAGATGCTTCAGCAATACAAACAATAACATATCTTACCCCTCTTGTTTATAGATGGTGGTAAAACAATGGGCAATGCCTCTGTAGCGGTGGACATCCTCTGGGCCTCCCTGGATTTGAAACCTGGTCTTCACCAGGTCTAAGGGATGCATGAGGCACACCTCAACAAAACCTACAGAGACAGTTGAGGAATGAACTTCTTTTTTTACCAAAATTATTCAATCTTATGTTCAAATTTATATGAAACAGGTTCTATTTCAATTCTTTTTTTTTTTTTTAAGAAAAAGTGATTTTTCTGCCATAATGGCAATAAACCTAGATCAAAGTTTAATACATGGCAGAATTTTTCCCAACAAACCACCCTCCCCCAACTATCAAGGACCCTAAAGAACCAACTTTCCTGGCAATTGCTGCTAACCACTGACATCACAGTCTTCAGAATTGATTGATGACACATATCCTGTGAACACCACAATTTATCCATCCATTCATGTCCATGGTCCACTATCGTTTTTCCATTTATTCATAAGAAACAGACTAAATGTTGCATTATCAACCTTTTGTGCTTTCATAGACTTTCATAAAGCATTTGATTGCATCGACAGAGATTATTTAATGTGCAAACTATTGAGATCTGGTATAGATGGTAAAGTATACTGGGCTATTAGAAACATATATGTTAATTTCAATTGAAATGGCGTAAAACACAAATACTATAGTGCTCGTGCAGTTTGGGAATTTAACTAAGTGTAATACATCCGGGCATTGGGCAGGTGGCGCCACAATCTCTATACCGATACGCGGGCTGAAATGCGCAGTGGTGGTTAGTGATCACAGCACCAGGTTTAAACAGGTTTAAACGGCATTTGCGAAGCAGCGGCAAGAGGTTAAGCATGAGTATAGCGAAGCAGTAATAGACTTTTGTGATCAACGGTGAATGATATGAGCAACAGTACTAGTAGGTCCAGAGTAGACGATATATCCTGGGATACATATTTAATGAATATAGCACAGGCAGTGGCCCCGGGAGTATTGGAAGAGGAAAGCGGCAAATATGGAACGTAAACCAAACAACAGAAACGTCGGAGGAAATACGGCCTGGGGGAGTCAACAAAAGCCATACTAGCCCAAAATGGCTTTACCTCCGAGAGAGCCTTAAAGTTGTTGAAGGCAGATGATATAGGAGCTCTTAATATTCAACTCCTGGCGGAGAGGAGGTTGCTGGAGGCAGCTATTGAGGACAATAACGGAAGGAGAGGAGGTCCCAACACCGAGCTTCTACAGGCACAGAGCAGAGACACGGAGGCCAGATTGCAGACTGGGGATGATCTGAACGAGAGACTAGCAAACCTGATTGGAAACCAGACAGACACAAGCAATGGGATGAGAAGTCAACCTCAGCTCCGTATTCCACTTGATTATGAAAAGTCTAATAAATATCTTGGAGTTACCTTAGCAGATACATTTAATTATAGTACGAATGCAGATGTGATGTCTCATGCTGCAGGTTGGGCACTGGGTTCCATTACAGCTAAGTATAAACATCAAGGATACATGGGGTACTCCACATACACAAAGCTTTTTGATTCTTGTGTTGGTCCCTTGTGGTAGTTAAATATGCAGCAGGTGTTTGGGGATATTAATGACTATAAGCAGCTAGATAAAATCCAGTTTAGAACCGCCAGGGTATTTCTTGGGGTGCACAGATTTACTCCTCTTCTGGCCATAGAAGGAGATATAGGTTGGATGAATACTAAGTATAAAAGATGGTTGCACCCTATAAGATTGTGGAACAGACTTTTGAACATGAGTGATGATAGGATCACAAAACAAATTTTTCTTAGAGATTATGACTTGGCAAAAGAGGGTAACATTAATTGGTGTGCTCAGGTCTCTCAAGTTTTAGCTGTTTGTGAAATGGAGCATTTGTTTAATGATTTAGTTTCTTGTGATGTTGGCATTATAAAGAATATATTATTTAAACTGCAAGAGAGAGTATGGAAGGAAGCCGTGTTAAAAAAGTCCAAATTAAGGGTCTATAGAAAACTTAAAGAAAACTCTAGTGAAAAATTATGTTAATTATAACCTAAAAGCTGCAGAAAGATTGATCATGGCCCAGTTCAGATCAGGAGTTCTTCCATTTTATGTAGAAACAGGCCGCTTTGTTAACAAAAAATTGGAAGATAGACTCTGTATTCTCTGTAACGATAAAAAAGTAGAAGATGAGTATCATTTTTTATTTGATTGTCCAATTTATAAAAATTTAAGGAAAAAAGGGTGTGAAAAAGTAAAAATGGGTAATCTTATCTTTCATGACCTGGAGGAGGTTAAAGAGAGACCTCAAGTGCTTTTTACAGACTTTTATAGAAGCACAGTGAGGTTTCTCTTTAACTGCTTTCAGGTCAGAAAGAAGATGCTATATAATTAATGTTTGATAACCGGTGACTTTGTAAGCCCATAAGGCTGGGCCGTTACTTATATATTCACATTATTGTATTATATTTGTATATGTTCGGCATTGTAAATCAATTTAACTAACTATTGAAAATCTTAATAAAACCAAAATTCTGTATCATATTATTAAGACTGACAGCAAATTATTTCAAAGTCCCAAAATTACAGTATATACTCCAATCAAAAATTCACAGCACGAATTCATTTCTATACATAAAATTCATATTGTATCCAAGACGTCAAATATTTGCTATTGTTCTGTGCAAACTACTTAACAGCTTCAATAAATTTACTAACCATAAATTTTCAATGCAAAATCACATATATCTGCAATGACAATATCGACATGGACTTTGATCTAGCATACTTGGTAGAAACTAATAAATTCTACACCTGTTAAAAACCTTTGAAAGAAGTAGCTTGAATTATAATTTAATGACTTTTTCAAATTTTAACAATGTCTTAATTTTCAGAAATGACTTAAAAATACAGTATCTGTAAAACTTATTTTCCCCATTGAAAAGATCGAGCCATTACGTACCTTAGTCAAACGTGATCTGCACACCATTGAAGTTTAATGATGGGGGGAGGGAGGTAGAAAGAGAGGGCTCCTTTCCATTTACAGTAATGGTCAACATAGATGGATTCAACTCCATGGATGTAGGAGTCCATGTTCCACCCTACCCAGGTTCTTCTAATATTTTACCTGTCGCTGATGCATGGGAGAGGGAACATAACCACAGACTCACATATTCAGTTCCAAGTCTAAAAGTCCTTTCTTAAGTCCAAGCATTCAGCCTTTATACACATTATCTCCAGAGAATCTATCTGCATGCCACAGTGGCAGCAACTCATTTAAATACTAATTGCAATGCAATAGATAACAATTGAGGGCTTCTACTTTTAAGTTATATCAGTTCTACTTATCAGGTATACCTATACAGAGGATGATAAATATTCATTCAAGACTGAAGTAAGGTGAATGATAATATGCTGACTGATTACAATTATAAACATAATATGTAAATGAGTGATTTCATCACATGCATTTAGTGGACCTTAACATATTCCTTCTTTTCCCACAAAAAAAATTATGGTTACATAATTTTTTGAAATAAAGATTCCACAGAATGCACAAAGATAAAATTTAAACAGCTAAACACTTATGCAAAATATCTCTATCATGATTCAATTACACAAAAAAAATCCATATATAATTCTGTCAAATATCATTTCTTTAACTAACAATTGTAATTAATTCAGTTCATTGTCTAATCCATTGCTGTACAAAGACGTCATTATTCAAATGAAATTAAATTTGAATTTTCATGCTGCCAAAATATTTTGACAGAGATAAATGTCCAGTTGTAATACAGATTGTTCAAACAGCTTTCTAATGGACTGTACATTTAAAATCTCCTCAATTAAACAATTTAATATCAGATATATCATTAAACTATTTTCTTTCTTCCATGACACAGAAATGTATATATTGGAAATTTCCCTACATGTTAGAAATTACCATTAATAAAAAAAAAAAAAAAAAAAAAAAAAACATATTGCCATTATTCTATATAATTCAGTTTTAACCTAAGTTGTAAGCACATTTAAATTTTATTATTTTCAAATATTTAAGTTATGAAACATTTGGTGGAATTTTACTTAAAACATTGAAACAAGAATATCAAATACTGAGCCGAATGGCAAATATCTAAAAATCTAATATATCTCCTTTTTTTTTTCAAACCTACAGTACAACTCAGACAAATGTATCATCCTTTAACTTAATATTCATTTAAAAAAAAATCATATCTTAATTTGCAGTGTGGAAGAAGTGTCCATTTTAGTTTCTTTGCCATAAACTTTCTCTGCACCTTTTTGCTCTCTCTGTGAAATTCCCATTTTACATCTGTCCATTCTTTTGCATTCTCATAAACATTTTCTGTGTCTGAACCTTGTTTGTCTTCATTCTCTACAACTTTAAGTACCTCCTCACTTGCACTTTGTTCTTCATTCTCTTCAATTTTAACTTCCTCCTCACCTGCACTTTGTTTCACCTCTACTTCAATAAGTTTGTCTCTGTCTGTGTCTTTGAATTCAGAAAAATCCATTTCCATCGGTTTATCATTAAGTCCTTCATCAGCATTCTTTACATAATCCGTTACAGCCTTTTCATCTACACCATGTTTCTCCACATACTCTGGGTCATCATCATCATCATCAAGTCCTTCATCCGTATTCTTTACATCATCTGTTAAAGCCTTTTCCACTACATCAGGTTTCTCATAATACTTCAGTTCACCTATTCTACTCTCTCTTTCAATTAATCTGTCGTCATCATCATCATCAGTTTTCAATACTAGCTCTTGTTCTTGTTCTTTCTCGACATACCCTTCACATTTCTCCCCTTTCACGAAGCGGTTCCCTTTTCTACCTCTTGTTCATTTATAATCATCATGTCCTTGCTGAGTCCATTTCCATCATTTTCCTCACCTACATCATGTTCCTTTACAAACTTCATCTGATTCATACATTCATCTTCATTAGCTGTAGTCAGTGTCTCATCATTAGTTCCCTTCTCCATTTCTAATAATTCATCTACTTTGCATTGGTTTCTTTCTTTAACTTCTTCTGGTTTCATTTCAGATTCTGCAGTAATGTCATTATTTTGTTGCTGCAAACTGCCATACTGTCTCTGTAACAAGTCGGCTAGCTTGGACAGGCATTCTACCAGTCTGCCGTTAATATTATAGTCCTTTTCAGAATCCCAGTCATCATCTTCATACACATACTCATCTTCAAAGTTGGATCCATAGCTGTATCCCTCCCCCGCAGTGACCCTGGTCGAGCTCGCCATTATGTAGGAGTCCATGTTCCACCCTACCCAGGTTCTTCTAATATTTTACCTGTCGCTGATGCATGGGAGAGGGAACATAACCACAGACTCACATATTCAGTTCCAAGTCTAAAAGTCCTTTCTTAAGTCCAAGCATTCAGCCTTTATACACATTATCTCCAGAGAATCTATCTGCATGCCACAGTGGCAGCAACTCATTTAAATACTAATTGCAATGCAATAGATAACAATTGAGGGCTTCTACTTTTAAGTTATATCAGTTCTACTTATCAGGTATACCTATACAGAGGATGATAAATATTCATTCAAGACTGAAGTAAGGTGAATGATAATATGCTGACTGATTACAATTATAAACATAATATGTAAATGAGTGATTTCATCACATGCATTTAGTGGACCTTAACATGGAGACACTTGCTGAATGCAAGCACTTAAACAGATTAACACATCTTTTGTTTCCCCGTGTTCTCATATAATCACCAGCTTTTCTGTATTCTACTCAATGCCAAGAAGAGGCGTGTCGTTCAGTTAATCTGATAGCATTCGGAGTAAGTCCCCACAGTGACCGATAATGTCATTGGGGATGAGCAGAGAGAGAGAGAGAAGATTTAAAAGAAATATATGATAACTTTCACGCCCATTAAAAGTCAGTATGTTGTTTTCCACAGACTTTTTAAACATGTTAATTACACAAAATTACCATTTTATTGCTTATCCATTAAAAAAACTTTTGTAAGACCGTAATTCATTGCATTGTTACAACCTAATTACACTTACAACACATTTACAATTACTACTAAAATTCCCTCCGAGACCTGCTGCTCATTCTCAACTAAAACGCACCGCCTAAAACGTAAATGTCATGCTGTTCAAAGTACTATGTACAACTTGTTCTGAGGCAGCTCGGGTACGTTGCACACAATGTATGCCACAATATTGTCATCTCCTCTGATCTAGCGCTGGTGAAAACATTGGCGCTATTTTTATTATGAAAATGAAATTAAGGAAAAACTTTATCTCAGTGCCTCAACAGTGGGTACGGAACACCGCCCCTTAATCACCAAGATTAAAACAGCTCAATCACCAATCACCGAGATATATTCAGGCCAATCACCATGAATTCTTGAATCACGTTTCACGCAAAAAAAATGGGCTCAAAAAAACGTATCACGTTAGAAAAATAAGGCCAATCACGCGGAACGCAAAAGGTATTCCCTAATTAACCTCTCAACAAACACATAAGTAGCTAGCATTATTCTTGAGCTCTCTCCTCAAACATATAAATAGCTTCCAAGGGCAACCGAATCAACTTCGACATTTATAAACGTCTTCGTCGTACCTGCACAGCCACCGGCAAAAAACTCCATGGCCCCCAGTTTAACCTGGCCGTGAGTTCTCTCTCTTCCCGTCATCGTGTTCTCTCTCAAATCAACAGGTAAAAGTCCTATAAGTTAGGGGAGTTCCCTTCGAAGTTTAGATCTTAACTCAACTCCGCGCCATGTACGTCACTTCCTTCAGGTGATGTGGCAGGTCGCGATGCATCAATAATTTATGGTTTTAGTTACGATCATGCAAAAGATAGACTATACGAGTAGTGTGCGGATTTTATATTTTAATAGTATCAAGATTTGCATGACTCGTTCAAAAATACATTTTTGACTAAATTCAATAATCTTGTTTAAGTTGTAAGTGCAAAATGAATCTTATATCTGTTTGTGTATGGACACGCCCCCAACTTCTTCAATATAAATCAACAAACGAACTAATAATACACCTTGGTTAATGTTTAATAGCCTGAATCCATTTTTCTCTTTCTTTAAAATGTAAGCAATTCTGATTGTATCATGCCATTTTCTTTGACAGATACACTGAGCCCTCTCTTTTAAAGTAAAATATTTTCCTACATATCATAATTTGAGCAAAAGAAGCATACAATTTAAAGGAATTAATGCTTTCCAATATTTAGTTACAGCTAAGAGTTATATAAAAAGTGACGAAACAACATGACTATTCAGCAAATGCTGTTAATAAATGCTTTATTGGTAATCATAAAATAAGATATTACTTCTACTGTAAACTACAGTATCTTTCAACATTTTAATGTTAAAAAACCAGTGGGAGATAATCAGGTTAAGTGAGGAACAGATTATTTAGTCTTGGCTTTGTAGATCTGCCAGTGCATTGTCCACATGCAGTGTATTCGCAAATATGGATTTCACTTTATCATTTAAAGGAAAAATGAAGGCAAAAAATAGATAAATAAATAAATAAAAAGTTCTGTTTTCATCAAAATTATGTCTATGGCTAAATGAACACATTTGTATTTCATCAAAATCTCAAACAATATAGTGACACCTTATTAATAAATTAATTTCTCCTCATATAAAAAAGAAAATAAATTATAAGAAAAATGAAATGTCACATTTTCTTTTAAAAATAATATCCAAATTTCTGACAAAATAAATAATTTTCTGTTCTTTTTATCTATAAATGCCATTACAGGTATGGTCATATCAACAATATTATGCATTGGCAACACTTTTATATCAATGTAGCTTTCTTTTAATGGGCCTTATAAAAAAAAATTTTAATTATACCCAAGTAATGTAATAGATTGCACTGATATTTGACATCATATAATTAGGAGTTTAATATGTACCACATAACCCTTGATATACAACAGTTGTGTATTTTTAATTTAACCACTTTCTAAAATGCATTTTCTCCTCCTCTAGAAGTCTGGTTTCCATGTACCAACCCATAAAACAAGGAATGTGGATTTTCAAGTAAAGCTTTTGGTGATTCAAATTCTCCTATTTTGCCATTGTTCATAACCATTACTCTGTCACTGTTGAGGACAGTGTTAATACGATGGGCAATAGTTAATACAGTGTTGTCTGAAAATTCGTCCCTTATTGTCTCTTGGACCATTCTGTCAGTCTCTGCATCTACACTTGCTGTAGCCTCATCAATACAAAGGATCTGAAATTTATAATGTGATAATGCATCTCATGGCCAACAAAAATTTTTTTTTCTTCTTCTTTTCTGCTTATCACTATTAGAAGAAATATATATCATGATTTGATTTTAGTTTCACATTAGAAATTTTTCAGTGCATCTGTCAAAGAATAATGAGTACATGTCTTAACTATTCTGACATATTATTTTTTATTGAGGCTGATGGAGATAACTTACTTGTTTGTCAAAGATCAACAAATTGTATTACCTTGGCTCTTGTTAAGAGTGCTCTGGCTAAACACAACAGCTGCCTCTGTCCCACAGAAAACAGTCTGCCTTTTTCTTCAACTTCAGCCTCCAGACCACCCATCTTCTCCACAGCTTTGTCCACATGGCACCTTTTAAGAACTGTCCATAGTTCAGAGGTTGAGCAACTCTGGGTTGGGTCAAGGTTCTCTCTGACACTGCCACTAAATAGGAATGGGTCTTGAGGAATGACAGCAAGATTGGACCTAAAGCCAAAACAAGTAAGACTGCACATGACTGTTTATATTTTTATGTTATGAAAATAAAAGTATACATGAAGTACACAACTTAATTTTTTCTATTAAACTTGGTAATGTCATCATTTTGGAGCTAAAAATCAACAATATATACTGTAGGTATATATAATCACAACAGAAGAGTGTCAGTTTAAAAATTAAAAATCAGTAATAAACATAAGTTGTACACTTGAAGAATCTAAATGTTCAATATACCTTAATATCTTGAGGCTGACATGTTTTATCCCTATGCCATCAATAGTTATTTGACCCTGACTAATCTCCACCATCCTGAACATTGCCAGGAAAAGACTGGACTTCCCAGAGCCTGTTCTTCCTACGATCCCAATCTTCTCAGCAGGCTGGGTCTCAAATGTCACCCCATTTAGAGCATAGGGTAGGCCAGGGCGGTACTGGAGATACACTTGTTCAAAACAAAGGCTTCCTTGTATTGGCCAATAAGGTGGTGGCTAAAATAAAGATTCAAAAAACAATATAAAACAAAAACAAAATGTCCTTTCAAAATTTAAGTCTCCTGACAAAATCTGAAGAACTTGTTAAAATCTCAAACAGAGAAATTCATAATTGAACTTCACAGAAAATACTCAAAATATCTGTAACTCAAATAATTTGAATTCAATTATCACAAAACAAAAACAGTATGTTTTCTTGAGATATCAGTGATACTTAATCTTTTATACATACGTGTAGAAATATATTCTTTAAAAAAGAAGAAGAGTAAATAAACTTTTCAAGACTTACATCTAATATTCCTTCCTGCTTCTCACTTGGAACATCCTCTATATACTGCATGCCCCGCTCAACACTGACCATCTGTTTCTCAGTTTCAGTAAAGGCAGTAACAACCCCACTCAACAGGTTTGTGATGGACAGGGCATAAGAAATAGCAAGGCCAACCAGACCTGAAAACACAAAGCATCTGAATGAATTGAAAATGTTTAAAAATAACTGCTATATCTTATATCACATCTTATCCTTGATTTTATCTCAATTTGAGACAATGCCAACATTTGCTGGTACTGAGCAGAATAAAAAAATGTTGTTTGGCTCCATGAAATTTATCATAATGAAGATATGCTATTTAGACAGATTTATAAAATTGATTTACATAAATGAATTAAAATTTAAATTCTATTTCTTTCTGCTGAAGGTAGAATTAGCTTCATATATTAAAGCAGAAAAAATAAAAAGAATTCTACATTTAAAAGTTTTTTACCTGGATCTACAGTTTGAAAATGATGTTCCAACACTGCAATAAACGCTACTCCTGTTACCATGACAACCCCCAACATCTGCAGTCTGATCTGCAGCCACTGCCCAGCAACTATGCCAGCAAACTGAGCTTGCTGGTTCTCCTCCAGTCTCACCTCATTTTCTTTTTTGAATCTAAAATTAAGTGACATCCTTCAATTTGATGTTTTCAATAAGATAATATAATTTATGACTGTGCACATGAATTCACAAGAGCCTTTGAGGCCAATTTGCTGTATATTTTTTGGGTTTACATAGCCATTACATATAAATCCTTTTGGTACAAATAACAACCCATATTTCACACCAAAATCTACATTTTTTATACAAATAGGACTTGGCTTTTTTAAAATATGTCATATAACAACTGAAATATCATAACAAGTTTATTTCACTGTATGTAAGGCCTCCAGCCTTTTAACAAACTGAAATATTCATGCTTGTTGAGAATAATAATGAACTCACCTTGCACATTCCCTTAAAGCTCTAATAGTGGTCAGGCCAGTGATAGACTCAGAGAAATGGGCATAGATGGGGGACAATGTAACACTGGTTATCCTCTTAATTTCTCTTGAAGTTTGACGATAGTAGCTCTAGATAAAAATAGAAACCGACAGTATTTCTTTGTTGCTATATTGTTTTACATTATAACATTCTTGAAATGTGAAGAATTAAAAAAAATTTTTTAGCAAGAAACTATCCATAACTAAAGTAGAAAGTTGTAAATATTTTCCAATAATACACATCATTTGAAAATTTAAACCACAGACTTGTTGCAAATTTAAGAAAATATCTTAGTCAAGATAATTATTTAATTCACCTGAATGAAGTAATATATTATGGTCAAGGGCACCAGTAATACCATAAACCATGGGAGACCATAGCAAGTGATAGCAACTGTTCCTAACACTCCATAAAACTGAGCCAGCAAGATATTCATCATGAATGGAAGAGAATCATCTATACAGTACACATCAGAGGAAAATCTGTTCACAACACGGCCAATGGGAGTCACGTCAAAAAAAGACACAGATGCCTGAAATAAAAGAACAAAAATCACTTCGTCAAATTAAATGAAACAGACCACTTTCAAAGCCAAGTCTCCAATTGGCTCTAACTTTAATCTTCCTTCTCCAATCTTTACCGAAATATGCCTTAATATTTTTTCAACAACCAGCATTTTAAGGATATAAAACATCCTTCTCCCCCATTGCACCTGTGTTTCACTCAAAATAAATTTGATCATGATAAAAAAAAACGATATTGCAACATTTTTACTTCAGCGATATATTACCTGTAGAATGCTTGATAACAGTTTCTTATGTATAGTCATTGCTGCACAAATTCCTCCATAAGCAAAGAGGAAAGCTCGGGCCAGTGTAAAGAGAGAATTGGCACCTGCCAAGATGCCATACACTGTCAGATAGTAGGAAACATTATCTTCAGCATACCTCAGCACACTGTCATTAACAGTAGAGGGTACAGTAGTATAACTGGAATACAAACAAAATGATTTAGTTTAAAATTTGACATTCATTTTATTAAAAATGCTGTAACTGGTTCTTTCTTATCTCGTGTAGTTTGAATAACTCTATATCATACCAAAAATGTCATTATCCATAAATTTTCTGTTTACACCAAAATGAGAAGCAATAAAAAGAAGTAGAAATAAAAGTTTGCATGTACTATGGTCACCACTACAAAAACAAACAATAAACTAACAATATCACATTATCTTGGATGAAATAGCATTTAAATCCAACAAACTCTGGGGTCTAACATCAACTTATAAAAGATTCTTCTTTTTTCCATCAATGTTTCATCGTAACATTTTTTCCAACCCAAACTTATACCTATAACCCTGTACTTCAGAATGCCCAGGTGGCTGAGAGCTGTTGTCAACTGTAACATTGGGATGGGAGTGGGATATCCAGTAGGATAGCCACCAATCATTGATATTCCTGGAACCTGAAATAAACATACATTTTGTATCAATCTGTACCTCATTTCAAAAATGATTTGCTTGTATACAAACAGAATGAAGGCATGAAGTTACTTGCATAATAATTTTATTCAAAAAATAAATTGACTAAAATTGAATCAAAATATTATGTTAAGTTACTGTGTAAACAAAAAAGAACTTACCTTGCATCAAGAACAAAGAAATCAAAATCAGTGGTGCCAGGCAATGACCTACAGCCTTCCAATATGCCTGGTACACATGGAACTTGACAATGCCTGTGTCTTTCTCCTCTTCCTGGACAAGAGCACCATCTACAGTGGAGCAGACACTGGAGGACTGATCACCTGCACTTTCCTTATCTTGAACTTCTTCTTGGACCAATTCCAAGTCAAGCTGGTCAAGGATATCGACAGGATGGCCTATTCAATATTAGAAAAAAAAACAAACTTATTTGGTTCAAATATTTCTATTTTGGTAACACCCACAACACTCACTATTTAATTTTTAGATCAAGATGAGACAGTTGGGTTGAATTGCCAACCACAGATATATAAAAGGTATGAACCTAATCTTTAGAACCACTTCAATTTCCATATACCACAAATTCATCATGAAATGAAAAACGATCCTATATAATTGTATAACAATGCATCAAAACAAATGTATTTTTCTAGTAGATCAGCACTGCATCTTTCAATTTCAAGTTGACATCAGTTTGAATTCACTGATAATAATAGTCTTAAAACCTACAGAAACCATTCACTTCTATAACTTTCCACAAAATTGCTACCTATGTTTACAACACGTCCTTCTTCCATCACTATCACAATATCAGCATGTTGTAAATATTTAGTGTGGTGAGTACACAGAAGTCTGGTTTTGTTTCTCAGAAGTCCCAGTATACACTTAAAGAATAAATGACTAGCCACGTGAGCATCAACTGCAGCCAATGGATCATCCAGCAAATAGAAATCCTTGTCCTGAAAGTATTAACATGGTGTCATTTTTGATAGTGCTCTCTCTTTCTCATATAAAAATATAACTTTGAAGTTAATGCATTGCAATACTAGGTGATTATATTTTTTTCTTAAAGGTTTACTATATCATATCAGCAGTCTGCGACGTTAGGCACTAGCCCGAGGCAATTGCTCACCTAAAGTGGCACCGGGCTAGTAAAAAAGGTGAAATTTTATAAAGCACTAGCCCGAACGGGCTAGTTGAAATTTTGAGCCTTTTGTAACACTCAGTAAGATTTCAAAAACATAAGTCGCCAGTCTTCTTTGTCCCTGCCTCTAATTTGACGTTTCTAGATAGTATATGCCTCTCAGTTGAAAAAACTCACACCTAGCTCAAACTACTGAATATTGATTAGTTGCTATAAATAACTTCACTGTATTTATTTATAGCAGCAGTCTGTCTGATCAGCGTGTCGGCATCTTTTTATTTGACCAGTTTGTTATCATGACTACAAATTGCTGTCAATCAAGTTACTGGATCAGACCGGAATTCCTTGGTACTAGCAACAGGTTTTGTCAAAACAACACTGTCTCCGAAGCAAGTGTAATGTATGCATTATCTCATAGAATATTTGGGTTAGGGCCACTTAGCAGACTGAGGGGTGTAGTATTCTATTTCCTTTTTTTGTTTATATTTTTTATTTATAATTTTAATATCCACGAGTTAATACATTTTCCTTTGCTTATTGCCTTTTAAAAACAATAAGACCCTGGCAGTTACATGTGACATAAATACCCTATGAACTATTCTTGACAATGTGGGATAGTTGGGTTTATGCCATGGCTACCCCTCCACACTTTGTCCTGGTAAAGTCCTTGAAAAGTTGTTTTTACAAATGTATAACCAAAAGAATTGTAACCAAAAAAGTTGCAAGACGTTTGTTTAATTACCCTTGCAGCACCTATGTATTTTAAATTAGGTGTGGCATTATATACCAATGTAATTAGAAATAAATTGTAAGAAAAGAGCTATTGTCAATAAAAAGAAAAGGAATTTAAAAAAAGATTTTGATAGCATATAAAAATGGAAAGAAAGGTATTATAAAAATATGAAAAGTAAGGGTAACTGTATTCAGTATTACATATTAAAAAAGGGAATTTTTTCAATATTAAATAATAAAATATATTTTAATCGATTTTACCACCCCATCAACTGAAAATTAACCTGATTGACTTTGTTATTCACTTGCTCTACTTCTATAATAAGGTTTATAAGAAAGTACAGTATGGTACCACAACTCTTTACAACATCTTCTTAAACTTTTTAAATGAATTATTTAAATTGGGCTGGTGTTTTTGGTTCGGGCTAGTAAACTTTGAGAGTCTGCTAGCCCGAAGGGCTAGTAGTCTAAAAAGTTTTTGGCACAGACTGTATCATGTTATATACCAAAAGTTAATTTTCTATCCCCATTACCTGGTACACTGCCCTAGCCAAGGCCACTCTTGCTTTCTGTCCTCCACTCAGTGTCACGCCATTTTCCCCAATTTCTGTACAATCCCCTGCCGGAAGAATCTAAACATAGCACAATTTTAAAAAATGTAAAGGATAATATTCTAAAGTAATCTATTATCTTCATAAAACACATGTTTACAATTGTATGACAGATTAAATATCTTAACTATTTAGTGATTCAATCTTATCATCAAATTTTACCATTTTCAATAAGAAGATCAATTACGTACTGAAATAAAGTGAAATTATCTTTCATGTTTTTAAGGTAATAACATACTGATAAAAATTGTACTATTTAAAAGAATATCATACATATGTCACCACAATATATATATATATATTTTTTTTTGTGCAGCAAAACCAAAGTAAACTTATTACTTTATTTTCAAAATATAGCTTTGAGTATTCTCACCTTCAGATCTTCCTCTAAAGCACAGGCTGCAATCACTGAAGCATATTTCCTTGCATTAAATGGTTTACCAAACAATATATTGTCTTTCATCGTAGCATGTTGGATCCAGGCTTCTTGAGAAACTAGGCCAAATCCATGGGACAAACTGGCAACTGCTATGGAGCCTCCATCTCTGTGCATTTCTGCAAGAATAGCATTCAATAGGCTGCTTTTGCCACAGCCAACTTTGCCCACTATACCTACAAGCTGTCCCTGAAAATAACAGTGAAGCAATATCTTCAGTACCAATTTCCCTGGTAGTGTTGAAAAACTCAATGTCTACAACATAGTGCAGTTAAGAAATCATGGACATTCTAATATTGCATGTTATACAGTAAATCTGAAAAAATGTTATTTCAATATGAATACGTAAATACTTCACTCATCTACATGTAAAATCTCACAAGGAATTAAATTCAAATTAAATACATTCATATTGAACTTCATTTTTCAATTTGCACTGTTTTTCGAATTCACATCTTACAAATGTACCTTGAGAATGCTGATGTTGATATCAGTGAGCCTTAAAGTTTTGGAATGTTTCTGAATGCTGTCTTGCTGAGGTTCTCTGTCAGCAGTACTTTCTTTCTCATCAGATCCCCATGAAAAATTACCCTGAAGAATCTGCATTGCATCTCTCTCATGACCTGCAAAGTGAAAAACATGTACACGTAGTTCAAGTGTAAATCACATTGTTTTACATTATTCAAAAATTTGATATGTTATTTTTAAAAAATCTACCAGAATTTATTTTTAAAAATGTTCTACACAATTTATAAATGAAATTAAATCTTAATTAATTTTGATTTTAAGAATTCCAATTTTTATCAAGTGAATTATCATTTGTAATCCATGACTTAGTCAAAAAAAAAATAAGACAATTTAATTCTACCTTCTGTAAACCTGCATACCTTAACAAATGTCCTTTATATTTTTGACAATACTGAGTTCAACTGATATCTTGACTGTGTTATTCTAAATCTAATGGCTATGACAGATCCAAGGATATTAAGAATAAGAACGCAGTATACACTATACTTACCGCTGTGTTTTGTATAATAGCCATCTAGATTCAGCTCTTTCAGCTGCATGAATGCCTGAACTCTCTTCACGGACACCCAAGCCTCCATCAGTCCATTCAGCACCCAGGGGAATGCATTCAATGGACTTATCAACATGGTGAACAAGGCAAGACTTGTAAACACCTGAAATAAGAAGAAGTCATTGCGAATCAGTGGAATTGGTCATCTACCATTAGAATGCTTTTGATCTGTATTCAACAGAGATGACCATTAAAAGATCAATCATGACTTATGATCTATAGTGCCTGTGTTGTTGCTATCCATAAGAAATATGTGACAAAAAAAAAAACATTCATAAGGGTAAGAGCGCCAGATCTTTTGTGTCCATACACTGATAAGATCTTTCTTTTGTATCTATCACTATTTTCCAGATCTTTTATTTTTCAAAAAAGAAAGAAAGAAAGAAAAAATGTGTTACAATTATGAAATTTATATTTTAATCATACTATTCTCTGTACCATAAATAAGGAAGAGTAGTATAGCTAAATCTGAAATCTGAAGACTGCTCCCCCGAAGATTCAACATGGTAAAGTGAATTTTAAGGTTCAATAATTTTCACTTAATACATATGACAAAACACTTGGGCAAAACACTATAACTTATACCGGTATATCAAAACAATTATTTAAAGAATTTGTTTTGGGTTCAGTAAAATTCTGCTTCCCAATTCTACACTGGTTATGGTCCATGTGAATCTGATACAAACAAATAATTGTAATGAGGTAAGGTAATTGCTGGCATCACCTGGTTTCATGGCCCCAGTGACAGAACTTGTTGTTGTTGTTGTCATTACAGTGATTGCAGTCATAAAATGCCTGTGGCTTTGTTTGTTACACTCATATTTTTCTACTTTATCAATGATTGAAATCTGACGCTCAGGAAAACAGCCCTTCTACTGAAAGCTTCTTAAAAGTGCCCACTGGCAATTGTCTTGTTTTCAAATATTTAACTTCCTTATCTTATAAAACCATCTATCTGGGAGATATGTTTGGATTCTCAGGTAACAAAAGGGAGGGTTAACCACATGCTATCTCAAATTGCCACCAGTTACTGAAAAATTGTTTGTTTGCCCAACTGACACCTCTCCCATGGATTACTGAAGCTTGCAAGGAAAGGTGACAGGTATCACCTGTGACAGAAGCCATCCTGAGCCAATCAGGAACTAGGGCAGGATGGCAGCTCTATGCATGAATATAAAATATCATTCTTAAATGAAGAAGCCTTTTATACAATAGTTATGTTCTCGGGACTGCGCAGCCATCTGTCTGTATGTGCATGATAAATTGTATGTACATGAAGAGAGTGTCTTAACTAACTACAAGGTCACAATGCACCTGATCTTTCTAATTCCATACATCGTTGAAAATTTTAAACTGTACAACAATTTAACATTACCTTTGCTGCAGTTAACTGGTGCCCCATGAGAGAATATGTCGTAAATGTTAAAATGGCAATCAGGACAGGTGTGGTGGCCCAAAAATACACACACATGGCATCGAGGTATTTTCTTCCCTTCAAACTCTTCAGTTCAGCATTGCGCAGTGTCTTGATCTTTTCTGCAAAGTGATCTTCCCAGGCGTACAGTTTTATCACACGAATACCAGCCAAAATCTCATTCATAACCTAGAAAAAACATACTTTACACCAAAACTTTTTCAGATTTTTGAAAAAGGGCTCTAATAAAAAAAACTATAATCTAGCATCAAATTGACCAAAGAGATTCTAATTATATTAACTTACCAACTTCAATCAAATTTGTTTCACCCCATTGAAGAGTACAAATAATTATTTAATTCAAACCACTGATAGAATGACAGTTTGACAGAATAACAACCTTGACTCTCCCATCCTTTTGTGCCATCATGGCTGTACTCAACTTCCCAATTTTGATGGCTAACCACCTGTTGATAGGAATGAGAAGCAGGGCAAACCCCAGCCCTGCCAGGAAGGCAAGGCCAACCTGCTGATGGAGCAAAAAAAGAGATACTGCTATCTGGAATGGAAGGCTCCAAAACTGGTGGAAGCTAGGGCAGAAATTGACAATTCTGTCAGTATCTGTACTCATAAAATTCACCACTTCCCCAGTGGTGAAACCTGACATGGAAACAGTGTTCACTTGAAGTGATTTTCTGTATATAGTTGTAATAATAGCTGCTCTCAGTTTTAGTCCAACCACCTGAACGTGGTAGTTAAACTGTGTAGAAAGTAAAGCTCCAATAAATGTAGAGATAAATAAGGATCCTGCATAAATGTATCCATTGTACATAGGCTCTGTTTGATTTTCCATGAAAGAGACAAGCAAATTGAGAAGCAGCGGCCCAGCAAATCCTATTGCATCTGACATAAGTTTTAGTATACCAAGCAGATAATATTCCGTTCCAAAAGTTTTATGCAGAGCTTTTAGTAAAGTTACTTCTCCTCTGTTCTTTCTGCTATTATGCATTCTCACATTATTGCATGGAACGTTATTACTTATATCAGAAAAGTTAACGTCTGGAACACAATTTTCAAAATCTGCAGTAAAATCCTCCACTTCTTCAAGTTCTCTAAAATTGCAATTAAACTTATACTCGATGCTGTCAGTTCCAAGTCTTTTTGGTAACAAGAAAAGATCTGAGGAATATGACAGTTGTCCCTTGGTGCCCTTTAGCATCAGTGGTTGAACCCACCAAAAAGAAAGCTTTGACAAACAGTTGGCAGTGTCCTCAGCCACTCCTAAATCATTGCTTGGTCTACTTACAGCTCCATACCCTCTGATGCCAGAGTCTGACAAAAGTCTATTTCTTTCAATTCTTCCATTTTGTATACTGAACTCTCCCTGTTGTAATACTTTCCCATTTGGTATAAGAGAAAAAAGAAACAGAATATGCAGTCCTCCTTGTAAACATGTAATTATTTCAACAACATTTAGAGCAGAAGGTTTTCTGAGGTGCACATCAACTATGCTATACACCTGCATTGCACAGCTCAATAACAATAACACATAAGCTAAAAATATAAGCAATGGTCCTCTGCTTCCATAAAAAGGATTTCTTTTTAGTTTCCATGTCATCATGCAGTGCAACATCCATGTCAGGAGTGCTATCACACATACTGCTAAAAAGACCAATCCATTATATGGAAAATTGCTTTTTAAGGAGATCATAAAACATAGTTTGACTATCCATGTTATGATGAACAAAACACACAAGGCATATCTGATGAAACAAGTCCATATCTTGCAGGGAGATGCACTGCTATTTTCAATGACATTTGTGTAACGGAGAGATAATACAGCAAAATAGTAGGCACTTAATATCATAAAAATTGCATGAGTAGGGGCGACAAAGGCAACTTGTACAAAACATTGCCCGAAACTGTAGCCATTCCACATCTGAAAGCTCTCATTTTGCCCACAAAACTGTTTCCACTCCCAGTTTGGTGACATGGTTTTCACACTTTCTCTGAAAAATAAAAATTGACAAAACCTGACATGCCCATGTGACCAAACTTATACCGTAGCGATACATAACAGGAAAAAAATAAGTTAATATAAGAATATTTTATGACAATTAAGTAACAATATGACAGCAAAATTTGATTTATTTGTATGATGTGACACTGACAAAATAATTGAGCATATTTTAAAAGATATTAATTTTTACCACTCAACCTAATTATAAATGCACACAATAGAAAAAAAAATAACAAAATGAAAAACTATATTAACTAATCAATAATAGAAAAATAAATTGAACTACACAGTAGAAGCTTAATACAATTATACCTCTCAGCTTGATCCCTCAATGTATTTCAGACATTTCTTTTCAGTCAATACTTGGAGGTATCTGAAAATACAAGGAAAAAGTACTTGTTAGGCCCAATTCATTCAGCATGATTAAAACATACTGATTCTGTTGATCACTGCACAGATAGTTGTCAGAAATACTTATTGTAAATTCCAACACATTCACTTCCTTTTATGTTTTTATTTTCTCAAGAACTTACTATACATTTCAGCACATTTACTCCCTTTTCAGTTATCACTTTCTTTGCATAATAACTTTAATATGTTCAGTGAAGTAAGTTGTAGCAGTATTCTCATGCTAAATCCTAACTCTGTAATGTCAGAAACTAAAATGACTGGAATATAAAAGTTTTATTTTCAAGAAAAAAAAAATGAACAAATATAACATTGAGGTATAGCTTTTCTGGGAAGATGTGTGGATCCCAACCAGGACCCTTTGAAAAGTAGCCCTGAAAAGGGCTTTTTGAAAGACTATCTAGATGGTTTTAGCAATCTTGCATATCTTCTTCTTCTTCTTCTTCATCATCAACATCAGACAACATGGTGGAATCTTGAGTGGTATCAAACACATTATCATCTTCATCATCGTCAGAGTCATAATCTGGGATGATATCAACTTCAGCTGCCTTGCGAAAAGAGTACTCTTGGAACATCTTACACACTCCATCAGCAGAGACCATCATGAGGCGGAGTTTGTACTGGTGGACTTTCCTCCCCTGTTTCACTGCTCTGGTGTAGCGTGTCTTCAGCTCAGCTACATATTTCTCCAGCAACACAGCATGCTGGACAGCTCTCTGCATCTTGATGTAGGCAGTGTGGATATCAGTCTCAGGTTCTTCATTCACATAGTGAACTTGGTCTGTAGTGGAATCAAAAGCCATGCTAGTCTCTTTAAGGGTTCTTCAATGTTGATTGTCTCAAAGCAAGTTGAGTTATGCTGTCCAGAGGCTGCTGGTCTCCTTATATACCAGAAGCCATATGGGGCTAATTGCTGTCAGCTGGCATGTGTCAAGAGGCAATTAGCTGCCAGGAAGAGCTTCCTACTTACCTTGACAACCAATTTACAATGGCTCTTGTCCACTGCTCAATTCACTAGCTGCTAGATGACATCTAGTGAAGGTAACAGGTTTACTGACTGGGGTTAATGGCTAACGTCCAAAATCCAGGTAGCATTCAAATTGATTTAATAGATAGTTAAAATGTTGATGTCACCTTGGTTTAAAGGTAGCACACAACATTAAGCTGTATTGTTGTCTAGGTGCTCAAGTCCACTGATATTAGGTCACTTATTTAATACTACTTGAGTACAATAAAGAGTTTGTTCCTTATACCAAAGCATGGTATGTTAATTAGAAGAATTGTATTCTTCTTAGCCATGCTAAAATATATCATTCTTCAGCTGTGCTTTATTTCTCAATTTGACCCTCTAACCCCACAATAAATAAATAAATAAACATGAGCAATAATTTTGCTTTTTATCAAGACTTTATTTATGAAATGAACATTCACTCTACTGCTACCTAATTCTTAAATATATTGACATATCACAGCTCTAAAAGTTAAGTCTAAAGCATCAAATAACTGATTTTAGTTGCAGCCACCTCTCTACTTAATTAACGATCTTAATTATCTCTTTACAGTCATCTTTAACATTTTTGATACCGATAAAGTACATTGGTCAAATTAAATCTTTTATCTACGTAGCGAGTGGGGAGGGTCATTGAAAGATAGGGGTGGAATGTAATATTAGCGCATACCAGTTCTTATCCTAAACCGACTTTTTCCTTTACTGACATGGTCTATTTGGCGCATTCATGTATCGTTGTCAGTGTCACTGTCACAAGTTCCCGTCTTATTGCAGAAGGGCGTCATGTTAAGTTTCATTGTTTCACAGTTGATCGTTATGTTGCCGCTACACATAGCATGTAACGCCAATTAACTTGCCAGTCGGCTTGTCGTCGTCAGCCGCGGCCTGCGCAGCTAAGTGACAGCCGCGACAGCCGCACATCGACTCAGTATGTTCCATGTTCTATTTAATCTACATGATAAGGATTTTAGTAATATACCAAAATAAATTTACCTTGCATTTCAACATTTTTCATGCAACTACATGTATAACATAAATAACATCGCCTCTGCCGTACCCGTTGTTGTTAACAGGTAATGAATGTCGTTCTAGATAACGACCTAGGGTCTCTACACTAAGCGCAAAACAGAAAACTGCACTGCATGTAGAAGCATAAGGACTATACAGAAACGCCGGGCACGCGTTGATAAGTCACAAAGGACACTTTTGATGCAAAAATGCCATAAATAGTTAAGCCTTAAAGTGTATAGCGTGTAGCGTGAATAGGCCTACAGTCTGATCCAGTGATAAGGCATAACTTGTATTGGACATAGTAACGAATTCGTTTATTATGTCCAAGTACCGGGGGACTTTTCCCTAACTCCCTTGTTTCATCTTTTTTTTTATTCATCCAAAACATAAATACCAAACATATATCTTATTTTTTTCAGGACATTTTGCAATTTTCCCGCGCTTTTTCAACGACTTACGAAATTTAAACACCATTTAATTCTGATGCATTTAGAAGAAAAAGATAAGATGTAACAACTGGAAAATTGAGATTGAATTCACTTTTAGTAAGATACCTGTACATTGCTATAAAATAATCTGTAAAGTCCACAGGGGCGGGTTTTAACCTTGATTATAATTAGACAGGGGCGGATCCAGGATTATTTGAAGGAGGGTTCTGGAACGACATGTCTCGGATGCGAAGCCGACCATCGCCCCCTTGGTGTTTTGGAGGGCAAACAGTGCCCTTTGGTACGGTTAAGACCTATGATTTAGCTAGTCAAAATTCTAATTTTAAGAGGGGAATATTGGTGTGATATATTTTTCAGAAACTGAAGGGGGTCAGGACTCCCCTGACCCCCCCCCCCCCCCTCTAAATCCGCCACTGGTACACGACTAAAATTAAAATTGTATAGAACATCGTTCAACATTGAATGTCTGAATGATGCAAGTTTAAATTACAAGTCCTTGCGGGACTTTAAAAAAATGGACTTTTCGACATAAAAAGCTTTTGGAGCTTTTTATTTAGGTTTTGTGATATAGATTTTTATCTGCCAAGTTTTGTTACAATAAGATTTTCTGTAAAATGCCACAAGTAATTTAAGATTTATAAAATATACCTTTTCTGACAAAGTGGGCGGTCACTTTAAAACGCATGGACAACAGCTACGGATCATATTTGACACTGAATTAGATGCGTTGGAGCTAAGCAGAGCAGAGGGACAGAAAGAACGGGCGCATCTCCTTAATTAGCAGCACCCAAAATATTTTTATTAGATCAACCCAACTCCGTGGGTACATTGAATGCAATCAGATTAACACGTCGCCCCTTGTTTCCAATATGTACTCATATTGTACTCAACGCCAGTGGGAGGCGTGTAAATATGTTAATCTTATTGCATTCAGTGAGAATCCCCGGGGAGTTTGATCTATTTAGAACGATGGCTTCATAGGCAATGAGCCCTAATTTTGCAGATGTCTGTGGTACAGGCGGACTAGACTCGTCCCTATAGAATCTTCGCATGAAAAATGAAAAAAGTAGGCCTATGATCGAATTCTTTCTTTTAAATCTGATAGGGGGTAAAAAAATTAATAAAATTCACAAGACATGGGATGCTATGTCAAAACAAAACTAACCAGCAAAATCTTCATTTCAGGTCATGAAGAAAAAGAACAAATCAACAACACAGTGATGCGCCAGAAACATAAAAAGCAATTTTAACACAAACACATTTCGTCTAGGCATCTTTCATACCTCCTTTGTTTCGCAATATAAATTCTTTTTTTCCTTGGGATATTTTTTTTCAGTTTATAATGAAAATCATTATTTTTTACTTGTATGTATGTTTATTTTAAAATTATTTTATTTTAATTATTTTAAAATATTTTTGTTTTGAAACACTAAATTGATTTTTGTGACACAGTCAATTTTCATGTTCAATCCAACATGCTGTTCCTAAGCATTTTTTTTTTAGTTAGGGGTAAGGGTGGTGGTACGAGGTTTGCAGAGTAGGTAGCAATCCTCTGGCACACTGTCATATTTTTGTCAGGATATCCTGTAATATTTGTTATGTTTCCCAATGCAGACCTTAAGAAAGCGATAATACCCTTCAAATAAAAGTTTCTGATGTCCACATTCCCGTCTGCAATTTACAGAAGGACATGGCGGACTAAGTGACTGGACAGTCATTTAGAAGAAAACTACTTGATCAAAAATTAAACAAGACATCCAATGTATATAGAAGATTTCTGCAATAGGAATTTTAAAAAATTGTCCAAAAGGTCCACGTAAATATATTAGTGGTGACAGTTAAGCCTAGGTCCCAACCGAACGTACGGGCTGCTACGTGTGGTCTACGGCCAAAAAATGGGGAAAACGTGGGAGTTCGTGCGTGAGGAGCACGTCCATCGTGCGACTTTTTGGAGGACGCAAACAGCACGTAGAAACTTTTCACCTCTTCCCTGCGATCTAGCTACGTCCTAGCCGGACGCTACCCTCTACCAGGGCGAGTGATAGATTTTTTACAGATATTCACAGATATGTCTCTAGCTAGATAAATAATCATTTAGGGCTCAACTCAGTGAATATCGGAAAAAATCTATCACTCGCCCTGGTAGAGGGTAGCCGGACGCAAGGAACCTAAAAACCGTGCGTCCAAAACGTAGTTGGGACCTAGGCTTTACTGTATACCCCCTTACCCAGAATGAGACAAACCATTGCATAACACGACAATATAGACAGGTGAGCTATCTATTAGCTGTCTAAACCAATAGCCTTCCAAAAGCGTCGAGTTGGCATTATCAGGTCTTGGCGCATTCTGTACTGAGGTATTTTTATGAACGAATAACTAAATGATCGGTATTAATTAATGACCCACAACTATGATTTTATCAATTAATATATAATACCATATATATATATATATATATTTATATATATTCACCCGTTTATATAAGAGTGAAAAATTCAAAGGCAACTCCTCAATCAAAATGCACTGTGCCTGTTGTAATTTGCATAACAATTTGTCGCTCAGCGCAGTGCGAGCTATCTTCTCGACTGTTCACTTGACAGCTGGACACTGTAAGAAGAGGACGCAGGATAGGTGTGGTGGAGTTTCGATCCCAATTTGTATGTTGTACCCAAGTTTGAAGCAAAGAGGTCTTGTGATTTAATGTATTTACGTCTTATAGCATACAAATGTACGTGGAATTCGATAATGCGGTGAGTAGGCCTACGGTTTTTGTCTGAGTAATTCACTTTTTTCTCTTCTCAAGTTTGATAAAGTTTGTACATAAGGCTTTGTCAGGCGTTTATTTCAGTTCGGGATGGGTTGAATGGGCTCTTTGCCTTTCTTGATTAAGATGTTCATTGCACTAGAAATGTTTCTTACAAATTTTGTCATGTTTTTATGAGTCCAAATTACCAGGTTCTAGTTTTACTGTTTGTTTGGGTATAACTTAAAACAATATTGAAATATTGAAAAGCACTTTACCAATAAACGCATAACTAATATGAAAAAAGTTGTTGTATTAGATATCACTTTTCTGTGTCTTAGAACTGTCAATTCAATATCCCTCTGTACGCAAATGGGTCATCTAAACACATCCGCATTTTAAAAACGTTTTATTAACATTGAATTTTGTGCTTGATTTATTAGTGTGTACCTTCTCAGGTGGCTACATTAGAAGCTGTTTTACATATGGTTTAACTTTAAGAAAAATCATTACCATGTTTGCAACTGAAACAGACAAACGAGAACGTTTGAAAAGAGTTTTTTTACGATTCGTACAGCATTCATTGAAATTTTCCAATCAAATTTTTTAATCATCCTTAATGCGATTTTTTCAAAACAAGGACAGTCTTTCCATTGATTTTATTTTATTGTCAGTTCATATTCCATTGCGTTGTAGTGCCATTTTAATATCGTTGTTCAAACTTTTAAATTTCAGATTTATCTTCTCTGTCGACATCTGTCAAAAGCACTTACGCCCGACGGAAGCTTTCCTGGTCTTCTGGTGGTATTTTGGAACCGGACACAGACACTCGCTCGCAAGGAAAATGCAGTGTGACGAAATAGTACATGGTCTTACGATTTTCGAACCATTTAAAGCCGGCATATTAAACTTTTGTTTACTAAGATGGACTTTATTCCATTTTCCAAACTATACTGAGAAAAAAAAATCAGTTTTGTTTTCAAATGTATATCCTAGGGATCGATCATGATCCTTATCAAACTATACGGTACCAACTCGGTTGTATCTTATTTCATTCGAAAATCATTAAGCTCCTCCCCAGTTATATTTGATTGAGCAATAAAGTGATCATTAACGTGTTTTTGATGCAATAGTGTATTTTCCAATGTGTTCGCATGTCACAACTTTAAATCTTGAATGTAAAAATGCAAGTTGAGATTTAAGTTTATTAAGCAGATTAGCTAACTGTATCGTTTGCTGTAAAGTGTACACTGTAAAAGTCGATTTTATTTTCATCATTTTAAAGTTTTATGAACACTAGTGAATGACGAGCAATTTATGAAAATAAAGGCACTGCTTTGGGTTGTTTTTGATTTAATCTCTAAGATAAAGAAATAAAGGCAACATTGATCTTAACTGAATTTTCTGAACCTAAAATCTGTTCATTTTGAATATTTTGGCTTATAAAAAAAAAAAAAAAAAACTTAAATTTGTAATTTTGAATAGTTTTAAAATTAATAAAGTCTCATTATTGAGATCACTTTGAGAAAAATGTAATAAACATGGGGCAAGTCCACTTCATTTGAGGGGTACCAGGTGGGTCTAGTCCACTTTATTTGAGGGATGGCAGGTGAGATAGTCCACTTCACTTGAGGGGTGACAGGTGGGGCGAGTTCACTTTATTTGAGGGGTGACATTGAGAGTTCATTTTATTTGAAGGGGGTGAAGGATGTAAAATGGGATAATACTGCCAAATTTTGGGACAATTAAGAATGTTATCATTAAAGCTTACTAAAGGTTGCATCAGAATGTCATTTTCTTTCTTTCATGTTCAAAATTTGAATTTAAATATTATTATGAATACAAGTTTGTGAAACAAAAATCAATTTGCGGTACTTTATTAAGAAAATTGACCAAAATGATATTCAGAAGGACAAACAAATTTGTTATTAGGGACATAAAACCCTACAATAAAACGAAATTTAGAATAAAATTCCAAGAAGTGAGATTGTAAATTTATAAAAATTGTCCTTATTGTGGGTTGTTGTTAAATCCCTCAGCGAGTTATGGTATTTCAAAAATGTCATTTCATAATTAACAAAAATACTCAGTTTAAAAACCGTTTCAATTATACCATAGACAATCGTCAATCCCACAGAAAAAAAGGGAATATTTGTCATAAATGGAGATTTCAAATATGACATAGAATTTGAGTAATTTTACTCCTTTCCCCTTGTTATACTATAATCTGTATCATCATTTGTTCATATCAAATTAAAAAAATACCACAGAATTACAAAGTGTTTATTTGGTTTTTGACAAAGTAGATACATGAATGTACGTAGGATTCTCAACTGTGAACCAATGGCATGGTGCGCAATATCTCGCTGGGCTTCTGAAATGATAAAACAATGTCTACAATTTTTGACAATACGCTTCTTAAAATACACTAATTAGTACATAGAATGAGATACAATAAATATTTGAAATGATATGGTTGTTTATTGGCTTCTCCAAAATGCAAGGTCTTAAAACACAAGGATTGAAATTTTAGGCTGCCTTGCGCCATGAAATTATAATATAAAAGAGTTATTTATTGCAACTACTGGCATTTGAGATATCTTGCTGAGACAGAAACAATGAAAACACAATTTCGGCAATTTATCCATAAACATGATGCGCACGTTGATGAATAGAAGACCAAAACTAGGGCCTACGGCGAGCATTATTATCAAAAGTAGTGTTTTTGTGGCAATGATTTAGCTGATGATTACATTCAAATAAAACATTTCAAACTGAGTAACACATAGTTTCAGATGTCCAAGGCTACAAAAATAAAAGCTACACAGAAATATTAAACAGGAGATCGAGAAAAAAAATCGGTCATCCAAGAACATCGTTTCTCCTATGATAGGCTACGTTTGCAGCCGAAAGCATTGTGAGATTATCAAAACCAATATATTGCCTACTATTGCTAAGATATTCTGAGTGACATACAAGTGGCTAATGATATACATACATAATATTACATAGAATCGTGTTTTAATTGCCGCTCTAAAAAAATTACCAAAGGTCATCCAAGAACATCGTTTCTCCTATGATACGTTTGCAGCCGAAAGCATTGTGAGATTATCAAAACCAATATATTGCCTACTATTGCTAAGATATTCTGAGTGACATACAAGTGGCTAATGATATACATACATAATATTACATAGAATCGTGTTTTAATTGCCGCTCTACTGTCAAATGTTGAAGAAATTTGGATACTTACAAAATGACGCATTTGCTTCCACGCCTTTTAAAAGCTCGACCTTGCGACTGCACCACGTACGTCGATGTAGGCCTCAGTAGCCTACGTAGGCCTACTGTCAAATAAATGAGCAGGCCTACGTATACGGTAGGTTATATTCTGGAATACAGCTCGACCTGCGATGAGCAAGTTATTGTTATGCAAATTACAACAGGTATAGCTCATTCCAGGTGAGAGGTTGTGGCAGAAACTGTTCACAAAAGTACACGGTCAAAATGTCACACTACCTCCAACACCATGCTAGTCAATATAGCATACATGTAGGCCTACACAGTTTGCCTATTAGGCCTGCTTTTCCCTCCCTTAATTAAAACTGTTAAAATTCTTGTTTTAAAACACATTAATCGACCTGCTAAATTACTTCAACAAGATGTTTCTTGGGGTTTATCAAAAGCAGACTAACATTCAATTACATTTTCACCTTTTAAATTAAAAAGGGGTATATAACGCATACACGCGATTTTACGACAATCGTTTACTATCCAATCAAGGTGACAGCCGAGCGTGAACGCATATATATCTACACTCATTAATTCTCTTTCGCGCACATAAACCATAAAATAGAAGTAGGAAAAAGTATTAATCGATGCTAGGTTGGTCGTTTATTGGTGCCTGTGTTGTTAACAGATTGACAAGTACCCAGTACCTCACCCCCCCCTCCCAAACACTATTACACACGCACCTGACACACTTACGTACTACAGTAGATCGAAACACACTTTGAACTAAATTATTGGTGGTAGAGCTTCAGAAGAAAATGTTGTCCGAACTACATATTAGGCCCAATATGACCAACGCTCAGCCTAAAACAATACTATTCAAAAGTCTCTATGGTATATAGGCTAGTTTAACCCTAGGGTCATCCCCCTGTTGGTTAGTGTACTGGTTGCTAGGATATGACATCATAGCTTTAGTTTTGAAACGAGGCTGCATGATCATGGCGAGCGAAACTTTGAGAAGTCTGTATGTAAATATCATCAAAATGGATTTATTACCGCCTTTCTGTAAATTCGAAGAAGGTTAGACCATAAATAACTTAAACATCAAGTGTCGTGTAATGTGCTTGGTGCATTTTATTTTTGGTAAGTCGAACACTTTTTTATAGAACAGTTTTTGAAATATGTAAGTCTAGAGCAGCTTTTGAAGTTTTAATTCTACTTTGTGAGTAGTGGAAGCAGGTGCTCGTTTGACAAATGCTTTTCATAAAAAAGACGGGGACTAAAAGGGTGCTGGCGTTTTTGAAATTGTTGTACTTATTGGACACTGGTCGTAAATATAAGTTCAATTTTATTTAAAAAATCATTATCTTTGATATAATTTAGACACTAAAACAGTACCTCTGAAACTGATTTTTTTTGTTTGTTATGCTAACGTGTCACTGAATTACTAGTTGAAAGCTGGAGTCTTTGGTGTTGTATTGTTTAATTAAATATTTAATATATACAGATGAGTTTCAAGCACCCTGCTGATTTTTTAATTATGTAATTCCAACATCTTTGGTGTTTTTTTCTTTTTTTTTTACCATAGAAACACGTACCAAGCTTCAAGCAGAAATTTATGTCCAAAGGATACCATATTTGACTGAAGGACCGAGCCAAACATGGGCATTGCTTTTTTACCAGTGATTTAGTGGATGATATGTTTGCTGAATTATTTTTAAAAAATGCTGCATAACTGAGCATTTAACTGACACAATTAATACAATTGAAAGAAAATAAAAATAATTTTTGAAGAATATAAGATTTAATGATGATGGCTGGAGTCCCACCCACTCCAGCTTCAGACATTTCAAGGTCTGAAATTTTACCCATGGGATATACTCAGATGGAGAGCCCACCCATGACACCTGCCTCTGCTTACAAAAACATGACAGGGATATACTTAGGACAGGTGGGTAGAATATGTGACTGTTGTCACTGTAGCATCATTTTTGTTGTAAACAATTAGCTGAAATGTATTCAGGTGTTGCATATATTTTTAGTAGAACAAGGATATCTTCTGTGAAAAAAATTTAATTGGATTTGAAATTTTGAAAATTCTTTAGTGTACCTTATTTTTTGTTTTAAATATATTTTTGTGCATTTTTTATGTTTTGGATATCTTTGCATATGACCCATCATACTTCAGTATTAGTAATGAAACACTTTTTTTTCTGTAAGTAAATAACTGTATTTACCATGTCTATAATAAATTAGCAAACATTGGTCACATATGTCCTATACTCTATCCAATGTCTATCCAGCCAGGGTGATTTACTAAATATTGAGAGAAGTTTGTTATATACAGTTAAGGACTGGATAAGGAAATAGTCCATTCATGTCTCTTTCTGTGTCCTTACTCAACATTTGTTAACTAAAATCAATTGTGATCTGTTAGCAATAATTGCAGTGCATTGATTTAGAAATTGTATGACATAATTTTTTATTGATTAATTATTATGCATTTATATTAAAGACCAAACTGTCAGCCAAACTGTAGCTTATAATTTGATTTTCATCTGTGCTAACAGCAAACAGTTTCAGTACTTATGATTGCTCAGGTGTTATTCGGAAAATTCTGTAACTTGATAAATAACTGTAGATCTAAGCACTTGAATGAATGCCTTAGTAAAATAAGTTTTGGTTTCAGTTGGTCTTTAGTGTCTTTGCGTGTATTTCTGGGCTAACATTACCTAAAAAATTTGTGTTTGTCATAAAAGCAATTGGGCAGAAAATCAGATAAAGTTCATGTCTAACTTTGATGATACAAAATACTACAACAGAATCTGATTTAATATTGACTGTTTTGTAGGAGAGTGGCCCCAGTCCAGGGAGACAGAAGGCGTACGTCCCACCTTTGGCTAGAGGGCGTGGCATGCCTAGTGGACGGATACGCACTCCTATTGAGGAAAGACGATATGTAAGGAAAAGTGACAGTTTTAACCTTTGTTGATTTTACATTTAATGATAGTTGCAAGGCTTTGGAAAAAAGGGTTGATGAATTATAGGCTCTATTCCCATAGATTTTAGATCGATCTATCCCCGCGGGGAGTCTCACCAGATTACTTTCAGATAATCCGACTTAAATGTCCGTCCCGCCTACTACAAGCTGTAAGGGTGTAATTAACTTTCGTGTCCGCCCGGCTGACAGCTATTTAGCATGAACCCCCAGGGAGTTAGGTCGATCTAAAGTAGGTTGATCTAATCTATGGAAATGGGGTGATAGAAAGTTAAATCAGAAAGATAGATTTTTGGTGTGTCAGTTTTTAAGTCTTGTAAAATAACCAGAATCATACTCTATTATGTGTTCCTATTCGTAATGTTTTATGTTTTATAACATCTTTCTATTCCTTATAACTTTTGAAACTACTTATTCCCCAATGAAAAATTGAAAAATAAGCAGTTTTATCTTACCACAACTCTGTTAAATAGGAAAAAAATGGACTAAGCCGCCATAAGTTTTGTGGAGTGTAAAAAGTTTTGAAGAAGGGACCCATGCTTCAAAATAACAATTTATTGCTGTTTATAGCTTTGTTAGATTTGAAATAAGTTACTTGTTTTGCTAATGTCACAGATGTTGACTGAATATTTCTTTCAATTTTCAAGCTTTTGCATTTTTATTGATTTATAGCTATGTGTATTAAAATAGGATCAATAGGATAAACATGCTTATTATGCACATACTTCATAATTGTCTGATGTAGTTCAATCTAAATGATCATATTGATTGTGATTTGAAGTTGAGAGCATATATATTATGTGGTGTTATATCTTGTTTTCTAGATGGTGATTATGGCCTCAAATCACACTTGCAAAAGTTTAGAATAATCTCCTTGCTTAAGTATTACTTTATTCTTCCACCTAAACATTTGCCTTCAAGGGTTTTGATTTTATTTATATCGTAGAAAATGGTGGAGTTACTGCGTATAAGAGAAGATAATAAAGGATTCAAAGGACAGCCCTTAAAGGTAAGATGAATCCATGGATTACTGGTTTATCCTTTTCTCATGAATTTTTCTGCCATAATCAGCCACTGCTGTGCAGCTTTATTGTGCTTTATATTGCTAGAGGCATTTTAATACAGGTAAAATATATTTCCTTATGAAATAATGTAATCACCATTTTTATTGATTTTGGTGTTGATAATTTTAAAAAATGTTTGATTGAAGCGGTTTTATTTTGATTTATTCATTGCAAACAGAAAATATATAGTAAGCCATAATTTCTGTTGTCATAATCATAAAAGCAATGTAATTTGTGCTTATCTTGTTTAATTTTTCAGGCCAAGAGTAAACCACCAACCCCCCCAGGTCCGCTGGGCCCCCCAAGTCCTCCTACTTTGAGGACTCAGACTGCTCCCTCCTCAGATATGTTCTCTTCTCCTGTAGAGTTCCAGAAACTTGTACAGTATGTATACTTGGCCCATCTTTTGTTTAATACAAACAATGGACTAAATTTTTCAATAGCTATCTCGGTTTCATTTTAGGTTATAATATATTTTAAATTATGTGGTCATAAATGAAAGCTAAGGTAGATGGAGAAACTGCAGGTGTAATAAATCAAGCTTATTTTTCAGGAGAAATCCTCGAAGATTCACACGTGCCAATAATACAGGAGTTACACACATGGAGTACCTCAACTGTATGAACCATAAAAGGAAAAATGAGATCCCATTATTGGAAGATAACATTTTTAGTGTGCCTTTCACAGAGACTGTTGAGAAAGAAGTAGACAGAATAGCTCGTGAACAAGGGGAAAGTTTGGTTGGACTTGGAGATTGCTATAATAAAGTTTGCAAAGTATGTAAATGTTTTTTTTAGTAGCAAAGCTTTTATATATCTACTGAATTGTTTGGAAAACTTGAAATAGGTAAATTTTATGCATGACACCTTTGATTTTGTTGTTTGTAGTTGGTTATGATTGTGAGAAAACAAATCTGACATTGTGTTAGCTGTGTTAGCTTGTTGAGACAGGCACAATGATGCCATATTAACATTGAAACAATTCTAGTTCTCAGATGTGTTTTCACTCTGTTTTGACTTTTCTGGATTACTTGTCTCCAATATATTTAATGGTATTAATGTAGTTACATTATATGAAGAGGTTAGTTATGTTTTCATACAATAAGATAGCAGTTAAATATTTGAAGACTGAAAAAAAATGACTCAAATAAGATCTGGTATGTGTACCAGTATAAGCTCATTGTTACAAAAACGAATTTTCAGTAATCTTGCAATTTAATTTTTCCCTTATTTCAGGGCAACAAAGAGTCCCTTCACCATCTTCTTCCCCATCGAAGGCCTCAAACCCAGAGTAAACCCTCAGGAGCCCAGTACACTGGGTTTACAGTGAAGTAAGTACAGACATGAAAAAAATTCCATTCTACCTTTGCTTACTTAACAAGTTGTCACTATTAGTCGTTTTGTTTGTTTGCTGAGATTAACAAGATTGTGATTCACCCTTTTAACAGATTTTTTTATTTGTCGTCAAGTTTGATGACTGGTTTGCTTCTGTATTTTTTCATACATGGATGTTTATTGCTGACAGACTGTAGCAAAACACAGGCAAGTGGTAGAGTTTACCTGCTATTAATTACGCACGGTGGATGTTTATTAGCTTGTTACAGAGTTTAGAGTTCTGTTTAAAAAATTAATTTGTTAGTACTGAAATAATCTTATTTCTTTTTATATACTATTACAAGGTAGGATGGGTACACAAGCATGTTGCTTCACATCACATTCATTTAATTCTGCATGATAGATATGTTACAGGTTTGATCAAAGGAACTTGGTATATATTCTTTCATATATATGGAAAGGGTGATAATTTTTCCTTTAACAATAAAACTAATGATTCTCATTGCTTTGTTCATGTGTGCCAGCTTCTCTTTGGGTCATGCAGGGCCAGGTAAAACCAGGACTTCTCAGCATGTTTGTTTATCATGTGGACCCCCACTGTGTATGAGAAGCTTATCCTGGATTCTCAGAATGTATGCAATAGCACATTAAGTTCTGTTACACTGCTAGCCTGATAGTACTGTTTTCGTAATTACTTTCAATGTTACTACACTGAACCACTTAGTAAATTGATCACATTGTGCAGAAATTATATTTCATGGAAAGATACTTATGTTGCATTAGAGAGCATGAGTATTGAATATAAGTCTGATCCATTCCATTTATTATTTTATTTTACCTTTGTTTGTATGTATGGGACAGAAAAATGATAGCACGAGCAGTGTTAGAGACCAAGCTAAAGTTTAAAAGTTAAAGAAGAACTGAATCCTTTAAAAAATCCCATTTACCTTTACAAACTTTCCAAAACAACTTGTTTATTAGGACTTTGGCCTGTTAATAACTCATTTTCAAAATTTACAGTGAAATTAATGAAGGAGTTTCTTCATCACAGCAGGAAATGGGGGTATGAGCTCTCTACAAATAGGCCACTTAGTACAAGAACATCTTGGTAATAGCTATTTTCTATTAACATCCAGCGACCCAGTGACACCTATTGCGAACCCCTAAAAGTGACATTTATATTGATGCACATGTCAGTGTCAGCTAAGACATTTGTCAGATATGTCTGAGCTATGTTGGATTATTTGTTTACTTTCTTACCCTGTCCTTAATCATATGTCAGCAGCATTAATGCTGATTAGTTGATTAGTCAAAGTAAGAATTAGTGGGTTTGATTTGTTTTTCTGATTGATTAGAATTAATAGAGAAATGAGCTGCTGAGGTTAACGACTTTGTTGTGAGGAATGCCATTCGATTGAAAACATTTCCAGGATGGGGTAAAATAGTTCACACAGTGAGATAATCAGTTCCATTGAATTTACACCCACTGCAGCTAAATGTGATCACTTCTTCACTTGAGTAGGAATATTTTTCTTCCAGTTCTGGCCTTGTTTGAACAACCATGCAATCAACTGATGTAATGTGTCTATATGCTATTAAATGTATTTTATAAATGAGGATGAGTTTGTAAAGAACATGCATATAAAATGACCTGCATCACACGGGTGTCACCAGCATTGATTGGAAATGTACAGTAGCAGTGCTACCATCTCTTGGAGAATTAATCGCTTCAACTGCTGCAACAATGTTATGTAGCCAAGGAAAAAACATGGTTTGCATAAAGACAGGTGTTTTTTTTTAATTTCACGGACAAAAAATTAAAAAAATTTTTTGAAGTATATGAAGAATGCAATTTTGCAATCACATTTTGACAGTTTATATATATTTTAAAGGTTGCAAGATTATATTCATCCTAGCCACACCATATTGTTTCTTAGCTTGTTTAGAATCCAGGACATTGGAGAAGACTTTGGGTGTTTTAGTGACTGCACAAAATGCATGCATGCTACTATTTGAAATTTGTCCAATGTTCCATATCTTAAGCACTTATTTTGACACAAATGCTTGGGACATAGTATAATGGTAGTTTACTGGTTAACCTGAACCTTCTATAATATGAGTACTGTCTACACTTATGCAATACTGCACTCGTCTACTTTATAAACAATAATTATGTTTTATTGTTCACATAGACACAATAGCACCACCTGTATCTGGGCATGTCTTGTCTTCTTCAAACCATGCATAAGCTATATGTATGGGGCATACATGTGCATGCACTGTTCAGCCACAATTACGTATCCAGATTTCAAATTACACTATAGGTGCATGTCTCTTCTCTGAATACTGTCACAGTTACAGTTTATCACTATGGCCTATTTCATAAATATTTGATGTATTTTGGTAAAAAAACTTTACATAAAATTTGTGATTTGGATCTTTGCATTGTAAGATACATTGTAACTGAAGTTCATGGTGCTAAATAGTTTATATATTTTTATTTTAAATTATTTGCTTTACCTAGATGTTTTTAACATGTAATCTATGAAAGTAGCATGGTTTGAGAGCACATGCTGGTATCATTCTTATGCAACAACATGCTTCAAGGTTACGGTAATGACTCAATCTTTTCAGTGGGCAAAAATTATCATCATTTCAGATACATAATTTTATAATTACAAAAAATTGTATTTCTGTATTGCATTTGTGGTGCTTTTACTGCATAGAATAGAACTATAATAGAGTAACCTGCTTTTTAAATTTGTTGCTACCATTCTGTAGGAATGTTCTAACTTTAACAAATTATGACTTGAAAGTGCAGTAATATTAAAATTCACAAATTTCCCCTCATTGAAAATATCGAGTAATTACCGTACTTATGTCAATGCTCAGAAAATGTGACAATTTATATTGAGATATGTTTTAAATGTTCTATATATAAATGAGCTCTACCACACTTTTTTTACAAATTTTCATCATATTTTCATTATTATTATCAGATTATGATTAATACTTCTATTAGTAACAAATCTCCACTCTCTGTGACACTATTTAAACACAGAAAACTAAAAAAACACATCTTGTTTCTTGTCAAAGGTTGTCAAATCTTAATGCCCCACAATTTTCATCTAATTGTAGAAGTTACAGGAGCCCAAATCAAGCCGAGATCCTGGCTGATTTTTCTCAGGGACAACCAAGACAAAGATCTGTGATAGGATCAAGACTTCTGGTGCCATTGCCATACTTTTTCCGTCCATATGCCAATTACTATGAGTCTCAAGCCACAGCTCAAGGCAGACCTCCAGGACCTGGGTACTTTGATGGTGAGTTTCATTTTTATAACCTGTAATTAAATTTTATTGTCCAAAATTTTAATTGGTTTTGAATAAAATTAGGAATGATGTGTTATTTATGGATTTGTGGTTGTTTCTCTTAACCTTATGTCATTTTAAACCAAAAATCAATCAGACCAGATTGTTTTCAGGATTGGTGCATATTTGTGAAAAGGTCCATTTTATTCTGAAACTGAGCTGGACAAGGGCTCTAAAGAGAGAATTTTATATAATAATACAGAGATATTTAAGCAGGTAGAGTTGTAATCAGGCATTACTGCATAATCTGTGTCATCCCATATAGATATTCTGATAACTTTCTCACCTATTTAGTATCAGCTTCATATTTTAAGGTGATCAAATCATTATGCCTGTCTCTTTGATTGTCTGTCACATCTGTCAATCATCTGAGTATTGTACCTTACAATCCAAAAAAACTAAATACAGCAGGAATAAAAATTGCTGGTTACGGGGTGCATATTATTTATCAGTTTTCTTTCAAATTGTGATTTAAATTGAATTTTAAGTGTCATAGCATCAAATTTTAAGGCTCTGCAGTTCATTATCAGCTACTTCGAATAGTGAGATTATCACATTTGTTAGAGGTTTTATCTACAAGGAAGTCTTTGCTGACATATTATTTGAGACATGGACAGCAATATTTACATGCATGATTCATTTGGTTACAATGGAATCAAGTAAAAAACATTATCCCTAGTAGCTGGCTGGGTATACAGACTGTATCAGGTCCTAGATCATTGATGATTATGGCCTGATTATACTGAAATTGATAGAGATTGGTTTTTTGGTGATTCATATTATGTGTCACAGGTACATATATCATTAGTTTTAAAAGGTGTCAATGGTATTTTTTTTTTTTTTTTTTTTTTTTTGATAATTTCATATTGAATTTCTAGTGGTGTAGTGTTGTAGATGACTCTGTTGCTGGTTAAAGATATTTATGGCACAGATGGAATACAGATATTTACAGATTCTTAAACATATGGTAATGAGTTCTACCTTTCTAACTTTCCAAATGACTAATGTTTGATATAATATTTGGAATGTATGGATTATATATTAAATCACTTTTTATTTGAAAGGTTGTTTTAAAATAGCTGGAGACACTTGATATATATATTTGAATGTTCAAATACTTTAAGCTTTTCACTGCCTAGCTAATTTATCCAGACTGATAACAAACAAAATAACAAAATGTCCCTGCTCACAAATCTATCGCAAATCTCTTTCATTCTTATTCAATATCACACGCTTCTAAAAGTATAAGTTTCTTATTGACAAGAGGCTGTGGAAAGGATTGTGTTATTAATAGACTGTCTGACACGTGGAAAAGAAAATGGACATGCACATTGTGACAGTTAAATATATATAGGTACCAAATGAATGAAAATGAAAATTCATTTCCTGAAGAGTATTGCTTCAAGTCTTAACAATTTGAAAGGTTGGAGGGGTTAAAGTAGGTTTCTAACTGTAGAACCACTGTAGGGAGCTATAAATAAATCTTATTGGAATAGTGAAAAGAAGAAAAGACCCTTACCAACCATTTAAGGCATCTCCAAATGACACTGTTTGACGTCATTATGTCTAAAAATAAATCTTGCAGGACAATGTAAAATCCACAAGCCCCATTTATGAGCTGCAGCAATCTTAATTGTTTGAGAAATCTGGTCAGCGGCAAATGTTTTCCATGCTTCATTTAAGCAGTGTTATTTAACCGTAATATTGCTTAATTAACACCAGCTCCTGGCACGTAGAAGGGGTAATAGTGTAAGCTGTGAAGTAAGTGTGGTAAGGTACTATTTCTTTTAGAAAAGGTTTTACATATTTTTAAAAGTTAAGTGTAGTGCAATGTGCACAGCGACATCCTTTATTAGTTGTGCTGAAAACATCAGGTTCTTTACCTTTTTATTGAAAAGATATTCATCTTTGAGGACTTTGAGTGATCTCTACGTTGATGAAACAAGGTAGCACTTTATATCATACACTGTCACAGTTTTAAAGTTATAAAAACTGCTAATTTTATTCTTTTTGTTATTGCATCATAGGATTGAAATCGAATGATTCCACTTTTTTCTAACAAGAAAACGTTGCATGGTCTGAAAGGCAAATTGAAAACAAACTGCAGCAGTTATTTCAGGTTTAATTGCTAAGCCTTAAAACAAATGTTGTATCATGCAATAAGATTTTGCCTAGGTGCGCAAGCTGTTGCCATGAAAAAAGTTGCCTTGTAGTTGTGGTTAATTGAATACTGCTGTAGCATTATGTTCCTGTCCAGATAGTGTACTTGCCTTGACTGCACAAGTGTTATCTGTGCGAATAGCCGTCAGCTCTGGCCTTCACTTTTGACAGGCTTAACTGGGAATCCATTACTGTAAAGTTTAATTGTGAAATAGCATTACATGCACCGTAAGTGCTAGATCAACAATGTGAGTCAAAGGCAATATTTGTTCAAAAATCATTTTAAAAATAACTCAGTTTTCTTAAGATCACGTTTCTGCATAAATGCCCATTACTAAATGACTGGTTAGAGCCGTGCGTGTGAAAACACTTCTAATCAATATAGCCTTAGACGTGATGCCTTAGAATAATTTACAAATGTTACCCTGTTTTGCATATTCATAAATAGTTAAACAAGCACTGTGAAGTGTTATGCTGATATTCATGCTTTTTTTTTTTTTTTTGTCAAATGCACATAGTATAACTAAGAGCTTTTGTTAATTGCATTGTAACCATGCATGCACATATATATATATATATATATATATATATATATATATATATATATATATATATATATATATATATATATACAGAATGATTAATTTTCTTAAAATATTTTTATTTTTTCAAATACAGAAATGTTTTCTACACTGACCATTCCTGTGTGTACTTGTATTCCAGACACCATTGAATTTTTTTTCTGTCATAAGTTCAACTATCCAGACCATTATTTGTATGTGGTCCATGTAGCATTTTAAAAGGGCGGAGTTTCCAATTACAGTATAACAGGTGACAATGGAACATTACAAAGACCTATCATCAAACAAAGCTACAACTGTCCCCGTCTTTCATATATTCTAATACATTGTACAGTGTTGGAAGCACAGTATATTTCAGTTAGAATTGGTGCTTGTCAGAGCCCTTCTTTTCAATGCATATTCCCTAAATTCTTTTTGTCAGAAGTTATTTTACTACAAAATTTGTAGGAATGGGGTCCTACACAAAGTTCTTGGCATAGGAAAGGGTTAGCTTTTGTCCTTCAGAAGAAAAATAGGGTTATATAAGACTGAAAGCATTGTGGCTTTGTCTGGTGTTTGGCTGATTTTCTCTCTAGTGTTTGGAGGATTTCAAGCAAGGTTTTTATTGACAAACAGTCCGTGATAAACATAATAAACCAAAGTCACTGAGCATAAGATTCGACTTCTACATTATTTGTCGGGTAACAGGTTGACTAATTTTGATACTGTATAAAATTACGATGCATGGGAGACAAGTCATTTTGTGATTGTTAAGTCAGTGAAATATTTGCCATCGATCAACTACTTGAGATTTCACTAGTAAGTAAGGGTAAAGTTTTTCCAACTAAATGTATTTACATGTTCTGTGCATTTCAGAATATCTTTAATTATTTATATATTTTTTGTATGCTTTTCTATAGTGCTTAGCTTATAACATGGACAGAAAAGCATTTTGTATATTCAGAATTATCAGTTGGGCAACTCTGTATTGTTACACATACAGGTACATGTAGAACTAAAGTATGCAATCAGTCATTGATTGCTTAATGTTGAAGGCATGCATTGTATGTTAAATCTACACACACACACACACACACACACACACACACACACACACACACACACATCTTGTTGGAAATTTCAGTTTTTTTTTTCCATAGTCACAAAGGTACACCATATCTAAAACCGTTGACAAAATTACTATCTCTAAACCTATGTTTAAGCTTAAAGGCTCTTGTTTAAGGGAGATGGGTATGTAGGGATTGTTCTTTCCTTATCAGCTAAGACAGAAATAAACAGTATCATGTAATGAAATAATGCTGTCCCATCAAAGTTACAGTACACCAAGGTGAATTGCCAACTTAAGCTGATGATGAACAGCAATGTTTTGAAGTAAAAACTGTAATATTTCACTTTTAAACAGATCACCCTCACCTTAAATCTAACAATACTGTTTTATGCCTATTCATTCACAACAATGAGTACTACAACCTGGTGCCAGGGAATGTTATGGAAAGGTTATAAAAGCAGCCTTTTTTAAATGAAACATTACAATTTAAAACCAAATGCTGGCACTGGAATGTGGCTCACAACCTAGTAGTCAAGCATACCGATTTTCAAGATATTTTACTTAGTTACAGAATTGCTGAGGAAGACGATCTCTATCTCACACTTATTTATAAAGCAGTGAAATTGTCAATTAAGGCTTATCCAACTTATGTGCAAAAGTGCATGGGGTGGTGATTAAAGTGACTAAAAAGAAAACTGCTCTCAAAGTGTCTATTTTTATTGCAAAAATATTAAGATAATTATTTCACATAAAAGAATTGGGGGTGGGGGGAGCTAATTTGTGAAATATAGGTCTTTATAATTTACTGATACCCCTTAAGAAAAGAAGTTAAGAAATCAATGATGGGGATTTTAGATCAAATTTTTAAAACGTTTTTGGATATGACATACCTTAATGTCTAGGAGAATAAACTTGCTGTAGAAAGGTCTAACATGCATAATGCATCCTATGAACAAAAAAAAAAAAGAAAAAAGATTTTTCTTTCTGAGGGCTGTTGTGTATTTTGATTTTATTTTAGAATTTTGATCCAGTTAAAAGGTATTTGTGGTTTTATTACAAGGTGTTTGTACTGACATCAGTCTGATAACATGATATACAGCTATTTTGAAACCTTGATAATTTGACTTTCCAAGTGAAATTATATGATTGGAAGCCATACTAGT